CTTAACATTTGAAATGAGGAATGGAGTATATTGTAGTAATAATAACACGGGGCAAAAAGTTGTTTTCACAGTAAATATTAGATTTAAATAATGATGAGTTTTGCTTTCATCTTGCTTAAAAAATTCTAGCTAGTGTAAAAATACAATCGCAACAGCAGAGAAAACAGAGAACTTTTTTGTTTGATAGAAAACTAAAATAATAACATGTATGTGTTTATGTCTTTGCAGATAGTTTTTTTTTTTAAGTTTTCAAATAGCAAACATGATTGTGCTAACTAGAATAATATAATACATTCTTATATTATGTTTGTAATAGGCACAACAGCTATTTATTTAATACTTTCCAATCTAGATTTGGATGTTTAAAGTTGATTTTAAATTTTGCCATTTTTGTTTACATTGAAACAACATACTGATTTATAACGATTTAAGACATGTTATATTATTTTTAAATAAAAAAGTTGTAAGTGTGTATCATAAAAATTAAACTAATATCTTAGTACACACATTAAATTTGTTTTATACTTAAATTATATTTGTGTTACATTATTGTACCAAAATTGGTTTTCAATTGATAAAAAAATTTGTCTGTAATTATAAGATAACATTAACATATGCAATATGAATCCACAATTAAATAACCATTATGGATGCTATCATAATGATTCAAAATAGCAACAATGAAAATTCAAATTTAAAAAGAAACTGGCAGAGCATATTTGCATATTTATAATCAAAAGACAATGGCTCTTGATTGTGTATATATTAGCACAGAAACAAAAAATATTTATTGTCCAATACCACCCACTGAGCATTATCTGCAATGCAAATGTGTAATATAACAATCAACGAAGCCGAGAGTACCAAAAACATTCTGCAATTTTCAGTTTTCAGTGATCATGGAAAAATTAACATTGACTCTTGTAAGAATTAAAACAACTAATTATACTTTAAGCCAGATTTTTGATACATAATGACTGCAAATAGATCTAGTCTACTACTCAACTGGGACTATTCTTGTTACGTTGATGATGATAGAAATTTACGGACAAAATATAAAAATGTTTCAAGTACTTCACGAACCTTCGTTTTTATTTAATTTTGTTCGTAAAGTGCACTATACTCACGAAGTTTTGGCCTAACTCGGTTTGGAGGGACGTTTCCTGGCCTAGCAGTCCCGATACCACCCTGGCTGCTAAGGCCACCTTCTCTCCGTATACGCATTTCATCTAGACGTTCCTGTAATCCTTGGATTTTTCCTTCAATTGAGCTATTTGACATTATAGTGATAGAAATAGTACACCACTAACATTTAAAAGCACGAAATTGTAACAATTATACCATTTATTTACACTAAAATTACATTAAATAAAGCGCAGCAATCCTGTGATTTCTTCCAATCTCCTTGGCTGGCCAATTTCATTCACTCTTCACTTTTTTGTATTCCATCTCTCACTCCTTAATCTTTGGAATGAAAAATTTTTACTTATTATTTCAGCATGGCAATAAAGTTCTAACTTCTAGAAAAAATTAGTCTTTAGAGGCTAACGAAATTGTTTTGTGGCGTTTTATTATGCGTAAGCCGGAACGCACGAGATGTGGGAAAAAGAATATAGTCTGTGACACATACCTTTTTACCGCCAAAATATGAAAAACATAAAAATTATTTATAATGAGTTAAATAACTAATTTAATGTAATTACTTTATGCCGCTACAACAATAAAATTTATATTGTTCCAACTGTGGTGTTAATTACATAAAACACGACCAGGCGAAATAAAGAAGGGACTCTATATGCACTCCCTCATTGGTGACCCCGACGTGATCGAGCGTTACAAATAGAGATCGAGTAGAAACCATATACACCTGGCGCAGCATCGAGACAAGGTCGAGTACAAACTATATACACCTGGCACTGCATTCAGGCAAGATCGTCTACAAACCATATACACTTGGCGCAGCATCGCCGCGCACAGCAGAGTGATCAAGTACAAGCGGTTAAACACCTGGTGCGGCATTCCACAACATGGAACTTATTTTCTTTTTTTTTGTGTTTTCTGATTAACTCGGTGAAGTGTTTTATATTTTTTATTTTATTTTAATCTTAATACTTCTTTATATTCTCCGCCTATACTATAACTTTAATTTTGTTACATAATTGCATATACAACAGCTTTGTCGACATAAAAAAAACAAGAAAAACAAAATTTTAATTTAATTTAAAGGTTCCTTTTGTAACAGTAGTTAATCATATTTTGTTAACGGGCCTTCATTGCTCCACCAATTCATAGTATAACGTTGTAATTAATAATAATATTAAGGTATTATTGTACGATTAGTAGTAAGGAAATATTTGTTTTTACGAGGCAAAATAATTACAGTTTTAGGTTTTATCTACCTGAATGCTATAAAGTAAATAGTCACGAAATGTAAGTCGGTGCTAACATCACATCTGTATTTAACTAATTTCTATTTTCTTGTTTACTATAATTTTATTTCATTGTTTTACTGTGTCTCTTATTGTCAGTATTTTGCCATCTTTTACCATAATCATTAATTTTCAATTTCCTCTTTACTTATTATTATTTTTTAAGTTGTTACATTGTATAAGTGCTTAGTTTTTATTTTTTATTTTTTTTACAATTGTAAACGTAGTGTTCAATAATGGAGGCAAACGAACAATTAGTAAGAGAAGAAAATACACTGTTACTACAACAAAATGCCATCCTAAAGGCTGAGTTACAAAAACTTAAAATGCAAGGCATTGATAAAACGGACCCACCCCCCACAGACCCATTATTTCCTCAACCTACCTCAGTATGCAGAGTAGCCATAAAACTTNGTCCACTCGTGCCTTCGGCACCTCTAACTGCTACTCCTACGCATACACCTCAATATACCACCCGATCAGGTCGCAGAGTCCACTTCTCCAAACCTTTCGACCTATGATATTTTTTTTCTCTTTTTCTGCGGATTCTCCTTCTCCGTAGGGGGGTGGTGTGGCGTTTTATTATGCGTAAGCCGGAACGCACGAGATGTGGGAAAAAGAATATAGTCTGTGACACATACCTTTTTACCGCCAAAATATGAAAAACATAAAAATTATTTATAATGAGTTAAATAACTAATTTAATGTAATTACTTTATGCCGCTACAACAATAAAATTTATATTGTTCCAACTGTGGTGTTAATTACATAAAACACGACCAGGCGAAATAAAGAAGGGACTCTATATGCACTCCCTCATTTTTAATATTTTTATTGCCCGTTCTTCCGTTATTATTTTATTTATTAATAAATATATAAACATAGAAATTGACAACCAGGATGGGTTCGTGTTCCTCTGAGCTGGTGATATAACCGAATAGATTGACGGACCGAATATTGTATATCCATAAAATCAAAATACATTTAATTTTGCTTTACAGCAGAAACAAATAGAGATAATCCCTAAGAGTGCGAGCTCTTAAAATTCCCTACCGCCCCTTAGATATCAATAATATCAATAGATATCAATATTTAGAGTTAAGGGATAAGGTAGAGGTAAGGAAAATATAAATATAAAATGTTTTTGTGTGTCATAGATGAATATGAAAGTTTCTGATATAAATATAGCTCCAGCGACCATTTAAAAACGGATTACTACGAATACGATTTGAATGTTTTTCTCGATTTGCACACTTTTCTACGTGCGTATTAATATGATACGTGGAAAAGTGTGGCATAATCATAATCGTTTTTTGTTTGCTAATTATAGCATAAAATATAAACATTCTGGCTAGAAATCGTATGAACTACAATGATAGTATGAATGTTTATTAAAGACAGGGAAATTAAGTTTATCTTCCAATGTAGTAGAACTGCAGTATCTACATGATGCGTTTGACAATACACGATGTGTATTGTCAAACGGGAACCAACAAGTAAAAACCAGTAAATAATTATTTAAGATTACATTCGCAGGTTTCATTTTAATGCACAATATCTCATCATATAAATTGCTCGTCAAGTAATGTTACGTAAATTTTTTATTTAATTTTTTAACTCTCGAGTTAGTTATGTTTTATTTTTTAAATCCACACATTAGACAAGAAGGACCCTTTTGTTATTGTGCCGCAATTTCAAGTAAGTAGTATCCCTGCAACCTTGCAAGAGTATTGGGATACTTGGGGTCGATATTTCGAGCGATTTCCAATTTCCGAGTCATTTGAAGGACAAAGCCAAGTTGACGTCAATAATGCTGGGAGTGCTCAATAAAGTGAAGCAGTAATTCACGCCTGGACGAAGAATTATGCTTTATAAAGTCCAGATCTGGCCTCGCGTGGAGTACTACTCCCACCTCTTTGCCGGGGGTCCAAAATACCAGCTACTTCCATTTGACTCCATGCAGAAGAGAACCGTTCGGATTGTCGCTAACCCCATTTTGACGGATCGTTTGGAACCTCTGGGTCTGCGGAGGGACTTCGGCTCCCTCTGTATTTTGTTCCGAATTGGGGAGTAGGGACATGGGGTGTGGTCTGGGAAATTGTTTGAGGTGATATTTCGTTTTTACAATAGCACCACCCGCCACTGGTGTCGAGTTCATCCATATTACCTGAAGCAACTGCGGTCACCCACAGTGCGTTTTCAGAGATCTTTTTTGTCACCGACCATCCGGATTTGGTATATGAGCTCCCCTGCATGGTTTTTCCCGAGCGCTATGATATATCCGTCTTCAAACGAGGCGTGTGGAGAGTATGAAACGGTAGTTAGCGGCTTGGCTTTGCTCCTGGCATTGCTGACGTTCATGAGCGACGGTTACCGCTCACCATCAGGTGAGCCGTATACTCGTCCACCGACACGGGCAATAAATAAATAAAAACTTATATGTAGTTGTAAAGTCATTTTCTATGGCTTAGTTTAAAAAAAATATCTGTCTGATCTGTCAATTCTTTAATATTAAGTGTTTTATCTATGCTGTCAATCTGCTAGTTATTCACTCATTCAAATATCTATTTTTGCTCGCGTATTTATGGCGTATTTATCGCATTTTGTTTGTCGTAATTGTTGGTGATCAAAAATTTAAGGATTTATTTGGAATTTCCGGGAATAACGACTCAATAAAGATATAAAATCTGGAAATATTTTTCATCTGACGTGATTAATACAATTGTTGTAAATTAAGATTGTAAACAATGCAGTGAAAAGTCCTAATGAATTTCTTTGAAAACGAAATGACATGAACTAAATATTTTGTTGGTCCACCCTAATGAAATGTACAGATAAGTGTATTTGTTTTCAAATATGATGCAGTCATCATCAGAAGGATGCATGAACATCGCCGAACTGGCTAATCAGTTGCGGCGTGAAAAAATATTCATAAATACCGAGAGGCAGCTGTTACAGAAGTTGAACGAAGATGTGGAGAACCGGGCAGTGGAGTTGTTACAGGTGTCGTGGATCTGCTCGCAACAGCGTCAGAACCTCACAAACCTGATATCACGATCTGAGGTGGAATCTATAGCCGCCTGTCAACGAGCCAGTGCTTTAGAAAGAACCACATTTATCGATGTTTACAAAGTCCTCAAGTACAAGGTAAGAAATAACATCACATGACTTAATTTTATATATTTCCACAATTTAATCAATGTGAATTTATTCATATTCAATGTATGTATTGCAAGTATGCAACTATAATAATCCTAGATCCTCATTGTAAAATATTTCTGTATAACAAGAATAAATTAATTGTACAAGAATCCAACGATATAATAATGGCAACTTATTTATATGTTTTTTCTAAAAAACAGCTATAATACACACGATAATTTTTTTGTAGCATGCATGGTATCCACCCACTTTAATGCAACAAGTGACGTATAGATAGTAAATGTTGTTAATATGTGTGACATAATGTGACAAACATTGCTCAATTTGTCATACTTACATCGCTTAAAATTTTCAAAGCTAACTATTTAAGAACATTTTTAAAACATTACTATTTATTGAGATGAACTTCTTAGTAATCTATAGATTCACCATGCGATTGCTGAGTAAATCATGTTACAGAGAGAGGAATTTATATAAAAAATGTTAGTGGACTTGTAAATCTGGTGTAGGTTTAAGGAGCCTGTAGGTATAACAACGGAGGGAAAGATCTTACACTGAGCGGGTGATATTGCTTGGTAGACTGACGGTCTGAATGTTGTTGTTGGGAACTTGTATCTATGCAAGCTTATCTTGAAAATGTTGTAAGCGAGATTCAAGAATTTGTCAAATTAAAGAGTAGAATTTATAGAAGTTGAGAAATGCTCAATATAATAATGACCTTTATATTTCAGTGAACATTGAACAAGGTCACCATTTATTATAGAGAGTTGCAATTGTGTTAGTCATAATGTTCAGAACAATAGAGGTGATAATTTGTTTGTTTCTGTTTCAAACATGAATCTGTTAAATTAAAAGCTACAATATGAGAGGTGTATAACAGAAATTGAAAAATCTGTTATATACAATGAAAATAAATGTGATTTAAAATAACAATTATTGGTATTAAAGTTTAAAATCGCTGCACAATTTTTTTCTAAATTTGTTTACTAATGTTAATTGTTTGAATCCATAATGCCACCTGAGACAATCTGTGAAAATAATTAATTAATATCATCTAAAATCAATCATTATGTTTGAGTGAAATATTTATGAAATTGTGTATTGCTAAATGTTTTAATTTTTTTATATTTTAGTATTTCAATACCTTTTGGACATCTTTTCATATTTTTTTTCTCTATTGCAGGAAGCTTTAGCACTTGGCGAGCTCCTTGGATGGCTCCGAGATTCGCCGCACCTTGTTGCACTTTGCCTCTTACTAGGAGAAGAACATATGCCTCAGTCGCTGCCCTCGGCTTTAGTTGCTGGTTTATATGGAAGTTGTAGACTAGCTAGTGACCGTACAAGATTATTAGCTGTCATAAAATCGTTGATTAAGCATCAGCTGGTCACTTCCAATGATCCTAGAAAGTAAGTATAGAAATTTTGAGAACAGAAGTGTACATATTGATTAATGAAATGTGCTGAATTCCAATTATAATTTTTTTTTTTTTTTTTTTTGTTGGGCGGTACTTGTGAAGTAGGTTGTGATTAAAAGTGCTCTCAGTTAAATACATTTTTAAAATAGTAAATCAGTTTAATTTTAAAGTGTAATGATATATATGCATAGACTGTAACACTTTTAACCTGCCGGCAGTGATTCCACTGGATAAAAACACTACAGAACATTTTTTTATTTTTTATTTATTAAACTTCACAATCTCACAATGGAAGGTATTCAGCAGTCCATGGCACAATTGACTGATATATTCAACAAGAAATTTGCAGAATTTGAGGTAAGACAGCAGAAACTGAGCGCTCCCTCCACTTCAACACTCTCCACACTGGAAGAAGAGTTTCTTGCTTTTAAAACTTTCACTCTGAATGCGCTTCGTGCACTACAGACTCAAGTGGAGCTCATTTCACTTGAAAATGATCGCCTAGAAATGCACTCAAGGAGAAAAATTCTTCTGATACNATGTGTATTTAAGTATATATTTTTATGTAAGTTTATTAAGATATAGCACCGTCCAGTTAACTTATTCCTCTCCCTGCAAGGTTGCCTGGAAGAGATCGCTTTCAGCGATAAGGCCGCCGATTTATATACCGACTTTTGTTTTATTACTTTACTGTGTACATATTAAGGTGTTATATAAATAAAGAGTTATTATTATTATAATATAAATCATAAGAGACTGGCTACAGTACAAGCCTTTGCTTTTTTAGTGGACAATCAATGTATTAGAGTTAGAGTCTTGGAGGTAACGGTATTAGAAATATATATTAGGCTATACAAAGGGATAGGACAAGACATTTGAATTGTAAATTGATGATCTCCAGTAATCACTTATTAAAGACATTGAGTTGCTCACATCAACTAATGAAAATTTAAAAAATTAAATGGTTTTTTTTAATTAAGTACGCCTTTAGAGCTGCTTATAACTATCATGCTTTCACTACTTGAAGAGTTTCCAAGAAAGTCTGGGTTTTGCTCTTTTTCAACTGTGAATGTACATGATGAAAAAAATAACAAAATACTCATTCAATAGATTTAATAAGGATGACTTGAATTAGAAGAAACAGGTCCACACTGTCTAGCACTGGCATTGCTTAGTACTATTTGCAAGTATCTGGATTGTGCAGTGTTCCTGCATCTTGGAAGAACAATGCAAAATAGCCACAAATTAAGAACATCAATTTGCACAGAACTGTCCGTTTATTGTATTGCATGGGCAAATTTTTGTTTAAAATTTTAAGTTTAAATAGTGTTCATTGCCACAGTCTTGTAGATATGAACGGATTACAGAATCTATCAGGCCAGAAAACCAGATTACTTGCTGGGGAAATAGGCTAAACTATGGCATCAATCTTTGTGAGATCACTATACTCCTTTTAGATGACAAATGGATCTATCTATCTATGAATGCTAACAATAATATTTCTCTTGGTCTTATTGCATTTGTGGACATTTTTCAGGTTATTCAGAACAGGCAAATGTGCTCTCGCATCTTTATATGCGGTTTTTCGGGATGGACATACTCCTGCGCGTCAATTCCTTATCGCGATGCTACAGGGACCAGTGATGACTGTACTGCAAGAAGACGAATTCTTCCTTGATATTGACCCAGACAAATCTATGGAAAGGTAACATTACAAAAAAAAAATCTCAGCTTATCTAACTCAAGGCCTAAAAAAGGACAGCCCTTCTCAAGAACTCCATAAACATATACTTTCTAATGATGATTTTAAACGACACTAAGTTCTGATCTATGGGAATCCTGGGCAGGATATTAGATCAAAGTAATAAGATTATTGCATTGATATCGATCCTCCATGCATGTACATATGTATTTTCAATTTAATCCATTCTCTTTACTATGCTGAAAATTACATTTAAAGATTCCCTTACATAGATGAAGGTATTATATGGGCAATTAGATTATGTATATCTTACTTACAATATGCTCCATTCATAAACAATTTTAATTCAAATATTTGAAATTTACTGCTGTGTCATTTTCATGTGGACAAGACTAAGGAATGTATGAGTATGTTTTGGCAGAATAGTGCTGCACTATAAACTCTTGCCGATTAGGGATTTAGATATCCTAAACTGATAACACACATCCGACTGTGTACTTCTTCTTCTTCCTAGTCGTACACTCTTGACAGTGTGGTCATGGTCATGCATCAGTCGGATCCTGCGATACCGATGCGACATGCAAGAGCAATCATGTGTGTGTGTGTACTAAACAACACTTAACTTTAATTACTTGAACATTACATTGCTCCCCATATATTTCCAGGTTTTCATCATCGGACCGTCTGAAAAAGTTCGGCCCACCGAACAGCGCGGAATACGCAGCCAAGGTGACCCGCTACCGGAAATGGACCGTGCAGTCGCTGTACAACCTCACCACCAAGTTCATCATATCGATGAAAGAACACTGGTCGAACTTCCCGACGACCATCGCGTGGATCATACAGCAAATTGTACATTTACTGAAGCAACATTCCAGGTATTTATTTAATTTACTAGTGGTATAGTAAACACCTACACAAATGTTCACGATTGACTTCCACGGTGGAGGAATAACATCGTGTAATAAAAATCTAAACCTGCAAAATTATAATTTGCGTAATTACTGGTGGTAGGACCTCTTGTGAGTCCGCGCGGGTAGGTACCACTACCCTGCCTATTTCTGCCGTGAATCAGTAATACGTTTCGGTTCGAAGGGTGGGGCGTCCGTTGTAACTATACTTAGGTAGACTGTGATTTCTTCCGCCTATCTAAGCAATAAAAAAAAACCATCATGTCCTGCCAAAAAATTTACTAATGCCAATAAATGCCCGTGACGCATTAGCTAATGTTCAATTGACCCTAAAAAACCGCGTGTTTTGTTTTGCAGAGTATCAGATCGCGAACTGCACGCCCTCTGTACTGACCTCGTGTTGAACCACCTGATATGTCCCGCGATCATGAACCCCGAGGCGCACGGCGTGCTGGAGGTGCCCGTCTCGTACATCGCGAGGTCCAACCTTATACAGATCGCGCAGATCATTCAGATGCTCTGTCTGGCTAAGTACCAGGACGTGCGTATCACTATACGTCTTATTATTGTAACATAAAACCATCAGTAGAACACTCGTTCGGCAACGCTGGTATAGTCCTCGTAAGGCTACCAGCATAGGTAGGAAAAAAAAGAACAGTTTATTTCCTTCCTCTTGCTCTTATATGAAGTAAATATCATACTGGCAGTAGAGCATTTTATTTGAACTGCATGCAAACACAACATTATAAACTGCATATTTTGGTTGCGAAGCCAAAAAGTTAAAAAAAATATTGTATCTTTCTAAACGGAAATTTAGATGGGACAATCGTTATGAAATACGCCGAATTTAAACGTCAAGTGTGCCGTGAGCTCAATAGTTAATGTCAATCAACTGATCTTAGTCAACCCATTACCACATTACTTGTTCCAGGTGGATCCGAAGCTGCGCGACCTATACATGAAGTTCGAGCGCACGTCCGTGTGGACGCTGGTGGAGAGCGTGAGCGGCGAGGAGTACAGCGGCGCGCCCCCCGCCTCGCCGCACCCCCCGCTGCACCCGCACCCGCGCACGCCGCGCGCCCTGCTCGCGCCCGCAGATGCGCACCTGCTGGTACTACACGCACGCACTACACACGCCCGCACTACACACGCCCGCACTACACACGCTAACGGCACGGCGACCTACCTGCTGTGTCGTGAGCTCGTGTCTTGTAGGTGGCGACGCACTCCGATGTCAATGAGCACCTGCTACGTCTTGACGTCAGGAGCCCTTGCACGGAACTGGCCACCTACCGTACAAAACTCATAAACATGCATAAACAAACATTTGAGAATCGGGTCTTCACTACATAGTATAAAACAAAGTCGCTTTCTCTGTCCCTATATCCCTATGTATGCTTAAATCTGTAAAACTACGCAACGGATTTTGATGCGGTTTTTGAAGTGAAACTTCTTTAGGCGCATGAAGGTAAAATTTTTACAGAACGTCACGCAGGTATGCAACGGAAGTGACATCAAATTACTATTGAAATTAAGTACTTGTCAAATGTCAGTAGTAGTAGTTGTTGTATTTTTCCTGGAAAGGCAAGTGTATCATACCATACAGCCTAATATTTTATAAATTTTTTTGTGAAAAATGTTAATAGGAATTGAAATGAAATGAAAAGAATTTGGAACATTAATCAAATAGCATGAAATTAAATTAGTCAATTCAATTGGCAAAATATTAGTCATTTACAATTTAGAAATCTAAACATAATGTGACTGTCAACACTGAGGTTTGAGATTGACATTTGGCAGACTTTTGGCGGGAACATAATATCTTCCTTTTTCCCTTCCTCTAAGTCTCGGAAATCTAAAGTTTTAGATTTGTATAATCAAAAGCAAGACTTATAAATTAAGTTCGCCAAAAAAGTTTCACTTCTGACATGTGTACTTTGTACGCACGCACTTTTTTTTTAATAGATAGAGTGATTGAAGAGGAAGGTTTATATGTATAATAACCTCCATTAAATAGTGGAGAAATCAATAATAAATTACAGTTTCCGAAGCGAAGCGAGGGCGGGTCGCTAGTAACTAATAAAATCTGTAGTTGAGCAGACGACGTAAATTTTCAAATGAATCTCCTTAGTCGCCTTTCACGACACCCACGAAAAGAGTTGGAGGGGAGGTGCTATTCTCGACGCCACACACTTTATTTTTGTACGCTTTATATTAATTAGCTTCACTTGTATGTATGTTTGTAACTGACTCCTTTAGACGCAATGTTGACTCGTTTTAAACGGCCAGATTTCATTCAAACGTGTAGATTTATTGAGGACCGATGACAATTCAATATTAAAAAAAATATATAGAAAAAAAAAATTGAAAAAATTTAAATTCAACAAAAAAATAGAAAATAAATTTGCATGGGGTGCATGGTATTATTAGTTATAAATATTTTTCTGACAGATAAGAGTAGAAGAATTATTATTTCTCTTAAAAAGCACCCCACGCTTTTTTTACAATAAAATATATATTGTTTTACACTATTTTCAATTTAAATTTATTAAAATTTATTTTCTATTTTTTAGTTGAATTTTATATAAAGCGTGTGTTTTTAGTTTTTTTAAACTATTCTTTATTATAATAGTCCAAGTGCTATTTTCGTTTACAGATAATGTTCTTAAAACGTATATCGTCGAAATTGAACAATAACATGCCATCGACGCCGTCCGACGAGCAGCCCGGGAACTCCGCGACGGTCGCCGAGGCTGTCTTCAGGTAAATACCATGACACAGCATCTGTCAACAGCAACAATAGTACTAACTTTTTCGGTCACAACCAAGATGGGATAGAGTCAATAGGATAAGGTGGAGGAAATTAGGTCACTAATAATAATATATCTGATCAAATCAAGTCTGCTTTGGGGGAACCTTTTCATGAGCTATGGCCATCTTTTTTTTCTTCTCTTTATTGCTTAGATGGGTGGACGAGCTCATAGCCCACCTGGTGTTAAGTGATTACTGGAGCCCACAGACATCCACCACGTAAATGCGCCACCCACTTTGAGAATAAGTTCTAAGGCCTCAAGTATAGTTACAGTGACCGCCCCACCCTTCAAACCGAAACGCATCCAGAAATAGGCGGGGTGGTGGTACCTACCCGTGCGGACTCACAAGAGGTCCTACCACCAGTAATAAAACGTCGCAAAACTTATCAGAAAATATCCGCCATTCGAGACTGATAGAAACCAAGATGGGTGGCGCATTTGCGTTGTAGATGTCTATGGGCTCCAGTGACCACTCAATACCAGGTGGGCTGCGAGCTCGTCCATACATATAAGCAATAAAAAATATATAAAAAAACCTGTCAGCGACGCACTCCACCAAGCTACAAAACGGGATCGATGGAGACAGCCAGTTGACGGAATCGGACGGAGTCACGATCCTCAGCAGTGAGGGACTGATCGAAGAGAGAGAGTTTTGGGAGATATACGACAAAGGGAAGATCTTCCACCGAGCGGGTGATATTTGCTCGGTAGAGCGACGGTCCGAATGTTGTTGTTCGGAATTTGTATATATGCGAGCTTATCTTGAAAATGTCGTAAGCGAGATTCAGGCATCTTTCAAATATCTTGCGTTGTATGATGGCTACCCGCCACAAGAGAAAGCCTTTCAAGCTTATTCTTCCGTTTGTTAATGAGTTGTGTGCACGTTGTTCAGCTCGTCGAGCAGCGAGTGCTCGTGGGGCGGGGAGGCGTCCGCGTCGCGCCTGGCCGCGCTGCTGCAGACCATGGAGCCCAACTACAGGAGCAGACTCCACGACCTTCTCAAGAAAATGCCTGATCTATCTAAATACAAGTTAATATTTTATATTCATTTATTAATCGCCTTTGTAGCCAGATGGTTAAGGCCCACCAGATCAGGAGTGATTACCGTCGCCCATGAACCTCAGTAATGCTAGCACGGCCAAGTCGTGGCTACATTCTATTATTTTTTTTATTATCCTTGTAGGCAGACGAGCATAAGGCCCACCTGATGGTGAGTGGTTACCGTCGCCCATGGACTTCAGCAATGCCAGGGGCAGAGCCAAGCCGCGGCCTACCGCATAATATTCTCCACAAGCCTCTTTTAAAGAAGGACATGTCATAGCGCTCGGGAAACACCGTGGAGGGGAACTCATTCCGTAGCCGGATGATACGTGGCATTCATCTAAACCCTTATAAAGTGTGAACAAATTGATGTCTAATGTTACTTTCGTAAGACGTTACACAAATAAAGTTTTTTAAACATTTTTTTGTTTATGTTATGTTATCAGTTAATCTTATCTTAAACAAAATTTCCAAACGAACGACGAAACTTTTTAGGCAAACCTCGCCGCTAGAAGCCAAAGACACCCTCGAGAACGGTCACCCGAAGAAAGGTATACTCGCTAAAGTTCCGAAGCCCCGCCTGCCTCGCTCCGGCAGCTCCAACTCCTCGCTGGCCGACGAGAGGTCGACGAACGGGTCGTGCGACAGGGAGGAGGTCGGCGACGGTCCAGAGGTCTGGATGATACGGCTGGCCAACACCGAGGAGCACGAGTACATCGGTGAGTTCCATCCATACCATATACAGGGTGTGCAGAAATCGTCTCCAAAAACGACATACCATATACAGGGTGTGCAGAAATCGTTTCCAAAAATGATTCTACTAATGATTTACTGGTGGTAGGACCTCTTGTGAGTTATTGGTGGTAGGACCTCTTGTGAGTCCGCACGGGTAGGTACCACCGCCCTGCCTATTTCTGCCGTGAAGCAGTAATGCGTTTCGGTTTGAAGGGTGGGGCAGCCGTTGCAACTAAACTTGAGACCTTAGAACTTATATCTCAAGGTGGGTGGCGCATTTACGTTGTGGATGTCCATGGGCTCCAATAACCACTTAACACCAGTTGGGCTGTGAGCTCGTCCACTCATCTAAGCAATAAAATAAAAAAAAATCTAATAAGAAAAGCTTATCACTTTAAACTGCTGATTTACGCTGCTGAATTTCGTCTTTAGTACTCTGTAACACTCTTAAGCTTTAGGTAAATAATCAATTAAAAAAGTTAAACTGTAAGTTTGAAAATTTTTCTCTTATACATGTTGGATAATTTCCACGAATGATGGGTAACCTTTTGGGAATTTTTATCGGAACATGGCAACTGTAAGAATAACTAGTTAACATTGACTTGTCAGGTCTGATACCGGAATCTAAAGTGTTGGAGTGTTACTATGGAGGGGCGGAGGGCGACGACCCCGCGCTGGTCCCGCCCCGCGCTCCTCAGCAAAAACGTACCAGGTAGGGGATTTCCTAAACAAAAACAACTGTTTTTTTCTATAAAATTAGCGGAAACTTTTTAGATTATATTACCTTTTAGCCTTTTCGATTTCCAGAAATAGTTCAGGTAGATGACTTAAATCCTAGTATTGGGAGTAATTGCCTCTAAAAAACTACTACACAAAACGCCTTATGTCGTCATTATCTCTAAGCGTGCGAAAGAGATAGCGAGCACTCTACATTAGTCTACATACAGGCTTATATATTATGTACTAGGTCACTTTATATGTGCTTCAAAGCTGATCGAGGTGATCTTTGAGCATTTTCTGTCGAGTATACTACGTAGTATCACAGACAATTTGTAGTTTGATGTGTAGATTTGGAATGTTTGGACTCGTCCGTGCCCGCACACAACAGTACCCACTGTGTTGTATAACCAGGTTCTCGGTGTCCCACGACGAGGTGTCCCTGGGCAACACGTCGGACAACTTGGAAGCCGTGTCGGAAGCCGCCTCCAACCACAGCGTCACCTCCAGCATGGAGCTCGAAACCGAAGACCAGAACGACAACCTATCTGATATGGTGCGCCTCTTTATACTCATATAAGATTAATAAGCTTCTTATATAGCTAATGTTGAATTGTTAAAATAAAAACTTTAATGTATTGCTCTGAAAGAACAAAGATTTATTTTATTAGTTTTAATCAAGTTATCTTACGTACCATATCACACTATAACACTAACCTGAAATAACAAAGAAACGACAGCTAAAGTTTATTTTATAATCTTGTAGTTATCTCAATAGAAATGAATTTTATTAAAATTTTACGAAATGTCATATTGTTACTCTGTCAAGGCTACCTTTTCGACTTTACAACACAGATGTTCCAGCACATGTCGACAGCGCATGCGTGACATAATTCAAAGAACAAGACTTTCTTTGCACTCATATCTCGATTTAATTACACTCCGTTATACTGAATGTTTTTAGTAAAAATATATTGATAGTTGCCTGACCCTGGCGGGGTGAGGGGAGCGTCGGAAGTGTACTGGTGGCTTGCTTCAGGTGTCGGCGAACGTGAGCGGGCGCGGCAGCCCCAACATCTCGGGGCGGGAGACGCCGTCGTCCCAGGTCACCGACGGCGACGCGGCCGGCGACGCGCCGCAGAGGAGGTACACTCAGCAGTGAGCGCGCCGCCACGGAGCCGCCATTCCTTGCTGGACTGGACGGACGGACTTTACAGCTTTTTTTTATTGCTTAGATGGATGGACGAGCTCACAGCCCACTTGGTGTTAAGTGGTTACTGGAGCCCATAGACATTTACAACGTAAATGCGCAACCCACCTTGAGATATAAGTTCTAAGGTCTCAAGTATAGTTACAACGGCTGCCCCAAGCTTCAAACCGAAACGCATTACTGCTTCACGGCAGAAACAGGTGGGGTGGTGGTACCTACCCGTGCGAACTCACAAGAGGTCCTACCACCAGTAAGTCGCGTCACGACACGCTTTTAATCGTTTTAAGGCGCTGCAATCATAATTAAATTTATTTTGAATTTTTGAATGTCGACATTAACATCAACCGTAACATCAGCGTAAGCCGTGAGCTCGTTCCTGTTTAAATAATAAATAAATAAAATTAATAAAGTAATAACAGTGTGTATCTAGACTTTTGTTTTTGTTCCCAGAATACCGCAAAATGTTCCACCGAGTCAAGCGGTCAACGTTCAAGCCAAACTACTGAAGCACACGAGAAACGAAATCGAAGATAAATTCTGCAAATTCGAAATCAGGGTACTTTTTACTTACACATAATAATATGTAAAATAAACGCGTCTATTTAAATAACATTTTTTTATGTTATTTGTTATTTACAAACACTAAAAGGAAAATAAAAAAAGCTTTACATTTTTCCAATTATAATGTTCTACTGTGTTACGGACACCGGGAACATATCGCACTTTTAGAATTGAAGTGGCTTGATCCAAAATTGTCTTTTTGGTTTGTCTGGTAATTGAAAATTTTTTATTTTTGGAGTTTACTCCTTTAGAATCGATTTACATATATAGGCCCGGGGTATGAAAATTATGGGGACCAAAATCGTACTAGCATGTCACACGAAATGCGTTATGCGCCTGATTGCGCATGTCATGCCGGAACCACACTGCGCTATTCGCTATTCGTTATGCGAGCTATTCGCGCGCATACGGCGAAGTGTGGAGAGTATATTCGCTAATATTCGCTTTATTCGTACGCATAACACATAAGGACGAATAGCAAATACGCGTATCCGTCGACTTGTCGGTTTTTTGACACACTTAAAAGGACACGAATAAGGCGAATATGCGCATCGACTGCCCACACTTCGGTGTGTCATTCGCTCGCTTGTGGCGGTCGTGTATCGACGTGTCTTATGACTTGTAATCATCCACAAGCGTTTTCTTTTCGGTCTTTTAGTAACTTTGTACAAGTATTGGTAAGAAACATTTAGGAAATAATAAATTGCGGCAACTCTCAACACGTCCATCGCTAAACGCAAACAAGACACATATTTGCCTTATTTGGNCTCAAGGGCTCAGGAATAACACTCTCCGAGTTCTTGACTAAAAGACGTCATGATATTTTTATGTCTGCACGTCAACGCTTCGGAGTAACCAGGTGCTGGACTCGGGACGGCTGCGTTTACGTTCAGGGATCGGATGGGGTGCGACATCGTGTCGAAGTGATGTCTGATCTGGATGCTCTTGCCAAGACGACTATGCCGGAAGATGCTGCTCAAAAGAGGGCACAAACCGGCAAGGACACAAAGGAGTCTGCAGCTGCGACCAGACCAAAACGTGTGGCTGCGAACAAGAAGTAGTGTTCGTTCTCGGTGTCATTCACTGCTTCTTTATTTGTTACCCACTGCAATTGTCTGTCCATTATTGTCATTGTCCAAATTTAGTAATAACTGATGTAGAATGTAGTTTAGAATTTAGTTAAAATATTATTTTTATTAAGTAGGTAAATACTCAAAGTTATTGTATTTTTGACTGTTGACATTACTTGTCATTAGTAGTTGTTGTTTTTGTATAAGGCTATGGAAGCTGCCATACAGCCACTCTGTTTATATGTTATTTGTTACGTTTTGTTTTTGCTGTTACATTATTCTTACGTTCTATTAATGTTTTAACAACTTTTTAAGTTTCCTTTTATTTTTAATTACCTATTAGTGTTATAATTAGTTATTTTTAATAATTTTGTGTTAATAATTTTTTATTTTTTTTTTGTATTTGTTTTGTTTTAATTTATAAATAGTTTATTTTATNTGCGCCGGCAGTCCGCCACAAAGCCTCGTACTGATCGCGCGTTTCTCTCATTATTGTATTTTCATATATTTGTTAGTCGTTTGTTTTGTGTCTCGTTAATTTGTTAATAATCTGTAGTGTATCGTGTTGTCGTAATATAGAACTATTTCTCGTATTGTTTCGTTTAATTTTTTATATCCAGTAAACTCCAGTCGTGCGTCGGAGCGGACACACACACTTTTTTATTTTTCGATTATTATACTTCAAGGTAGGTAAACGCTGGATTCAAAAGAGACGCAAAAACTAGGTTTGTCCTTTTTTAGACTAAAACATACTGTTTAGTTTTAATAAACTCATAGAATACATGTTATTTCGAAATATAAAATTCATTTTCTTAAAATTTTTAGTTAAGGTACTTCAAATTTAAAAGTGCGATATATACACAAACAATTACACCTAGACACGGATCATCAGCCAAGAGAACCAATATAAACATTGCGGTAGGTAGTAAATTTAAAAGGAATTGATTTAAATATACACATAAAATAATGTCCCCTACATAGAATCGTACTATGTAATTTATCTAAAATAAACAATTATTAATTATGCGTCATCATTCTCCTGGACTGCTCCCAGTCACCTGGGATCGGCGTAACATGTTTTCTCCTTTCATACTCCTCTATCATATACCATTTCTTCGCTCATTCCCCTCTGGTACATATCGTTTTTTATTATGCGTATATTCTACAGAAACTCCTGGAAGGCGACGAGACGATCAGCATAATGTCGGACACGTGGAGCACCGACGTGCTCGCCTCGGACTCGGAGACCATCGGGGACTCGTGCGAGCAGACGCAGATAGCGGCCGGCCAGGGTAATGCGACACGCGCTCGCTACGTGCTGCTGTAGCGGACGCGGCTCAATTATCATGATTGTTAATTAAATCACGAAACTCATTATTTTTTGAGATCAAAATGAGTTCTTATTTTGGGTTCAGATAACTTAGCGTCAAAATCGTATCGCTCCGTCGCACAGTGGCCTCGATAATAATGTAATATAATTATTAAATTAATTAACCATTTATTTTTCGCTAAGAATGTGATATGAATAATGCGAATGGTTCGAATGTGTATTTCCCAGGGCTATATTAGTCACGTACTAGTTGAATATTGTAATATGATTATGTTTTTACTAATAGATAGATTACTGTGGTCATCCATTAATAACCATCCATTTAATAGTTATGATATAGTTTCAAATATGAAACTGAGAAAAAAAAGTTCCAAAAATACGCTTTTATAGAAACTATTATTTATTTTTCATTTTTTAGTTGAATTTCAATTTTTTCAATATATTTTTTTTAAATATTGAAAAGTCATCGGTCCTTAATAAGTATGCCAAAGTTCGAGTTAATCCGACGTTTTGAAGGGGGTCAAAATCATGTTCAAAGATTCCGTTACCTACTAACATACATACTGAAGTTTGAAGCTAATAAAAGCGTATTCACTAGTGAAATTGGAAAGTGTCGACATCTGCTGGAAAAAATATGAATTACGGTTAATTCTTTCGTTTTCAGTTATTAATCAGTGTGCTTAGTGCGAGTTTCTTAATGTACTCGATAGCGTAAAACTTAACCCAATTTCGTATGCAGTTGGATTGGCGCCCCTAGCGGCAAACGTACGCAAATTATCCCATTCCATACAAATATGACCTAACTTTTACGCTATCGAGAACCTTAAGAAACTGGCACTAAGCACACAGTTCCGGACGTTGAAATTGTATTGTTCTCACGGGTGTTGCAGGCGTCAGCGCCAACAGCACGAACGCTCCCGACGCGTCCGAGACCGCCAGCGAGTCCGCGTGGAGCATGGACGTGCTGGCCTCCGACAGCGACCGGAACACCGAGGTCAGCCACTCCCGAGTGCTGCTCATTAGCATTGTGGAAGGCACATATATATCGATTGAAAGGCAAACATGATTAAGCGACAATAACTGCTTTGTACATAAATGATAGGCAATAACCATATTCGATGCGCAAAAAATATATATTTCTAGGTCTGTTAATAATAATAATTTCAATCCTGCAGCTAGATTCGTTAAAATAGATTTTTTTTCAGGTATTTCAACTTTAAATTAGTCTACTGTAAAGTTCACGCATTGTCGCTGTTTGCCTCGCATGTTTGCCTTTCAAGCGTCGGTATATTTATTGCTTGGCTGGGTGGACGAGCTCACAGCCTATTGCGTAATTACTGGTGATAGGACGTCTTGTGAGTCCGCGCGGTTAGGTACCACCGCTCTGCCTATTTCTGCCGTGAAGCAGTAATGCATTTCGGCTTGAACGGTGGGGCAGCCGTCGTAACTATACTGAGACCTTAGAACTTATATCTCAAAGTGGGTGGAGAATTTACATTGTAGATGTATATGGGCTCCAGTAACCACTTAACGCCAGTTGGGCTGTGAGATCGTCTACCCATTTAATAAAAAAAAAAACGCTCGGAAAACACAATGGAGAGGAGCTTATCCCAAAGCCGAGTGGTACCGGGTAAAAATGATCTCTGGAAATGCGTTGTGGATGAATGTAGTGGCTCCAGGTAGTATGGATGAATTGAAACTACATGATGGTATCATCTCTTACAACAGGTGGACACGGACGACTGCGTGTCGGTGGCGGCGCGCTCCGACACGTCGTGGCCGCGCCGCGCCTCGCAGCCCGACGAGCCCGCGCCGCCGCCCCAGGTACCAGATACGCCTCGAACCTTTTTTTTTAATGAGAGGCCTTTCCAGTTTCACCAGGACACGTAGGCGAACAAACTCTCAGCCAGGAGGGGTGGGATTTGCTAACAACTGCCCCACCGCCTCCAAGGGAGGCCTAACAACTCGAGAGCAACTGCTTCGCGAATGAATGTACATCCGGATCGGAATCGCGACCCGCTGAGAAGATTCGGCGTGAAACTCAGCGGGCTGATGTATAGATTAGGTTGCACGATTACCGGGGTCCCTAAGCCTGCTCCTAGCGTTAGAGCTGAAGGCATCTAATGCAAGAGTTATTGGATCCGATGAATACTTAAGGTCATTTCCGAATTATATAGTGCGACAACGCTGCTATAGTTCGCTTAGTTATCCGTTTGTCAGTCAATTTCGGTGGTTATATATAGGCTACATCACTTTTGTAGTCTAGCAACATTCTACCCGCTTCGCCGTATTCGAGAAGGCGCAGATAAGATATTTTTTGCTTTTCCTTTATGAGTGTAGATCATCCAAATATACTGAGAGATTTGTGTCGAGCATCCGGAAACAATCATTGTATTAATATAGTTATAACCGAGCATCTTTATGTATAATTTTATCACAAACGATCTTCATCTTATTTCTCTAATGTCTGCGGCGTGGAAAACCTCATGATGATGTCTGGCTCCGATCTGATAAAGAAATAAATAAGTTTCAGCGTATAAACTTGCGACCGCAGAGTCCTTCTACTTGGTAAAATGAGTCGTCTATTATCAAAGGTGGCAATCTGTGCATTTGGACAAAAAAATGTTATTGATATGTGGTGACGCAGGTGAGCGTCACCTTAAACGTGAGCTGATGAGTTGGAAGGGAGCATATGAACTCTGCGGAGAATGAGCGGACACGAAAGGGGAGGTAGGAAAACGGGACTTACTTGGAGGCTGATGCTGGCACTATCACGGTCGTAGTGGTGTTTCTCTGCGATGGGTGGCACATACACCTTTTCACCGGTTCACACTCAACCTTTTACTTAGTATATAACGAAGGGCGCGCGCGCACATTTTACTCAATATCGAACGAGCGTATCTCCGCGTGCCGTCATGTACCGCACTGTTATGAGAGGTGCGGGGTGCGTACGGGCGACGGCACCCGAGTTGAGCCGAACATTTACAAACGTCGCGCTGTCGCGCGAACAATATGTCAATACAGATTGATTTGAATATAATCGTCTCCTTCAAAGAATACGGTTCAAAACCTGCATTAAATAAAGTATTAACTTAACCTGTTATTTATCTAAGATGTCGTTCAGAAGAGTTTTGTGACTGCCAATGGAATACAAAGTCAATAATTCGTTTTTCTGATTTACCAATAATTGTCCAAAAGTCACATTGCCGGCTNACAGATTGATTTGAATATAATCGTCTCCTTCAAAGAATACGGTTCAAAACCTGCATTAAATAAAGTATTAACTTAACCTGTTATTTATCTAAGATGTCGTTCAGAAGAGTTTTGTGACTGCCAATGGAATACAAAGTCAATAATTCGTTTTTCTGATTTACCAATAATTGTCCAAAAGTCACATTGCCGGCTTTGATAATAGTCTACTCAAATAAGATGTCCCGAATTCCTAGGCTTCTGTTATTTCATTTTTTCATGGTTCTGACTAGTGTACTAGGAAATGTTTAGTAAGATTTGTGATAATGGCTTCTATTTACTTTTAATAGCCGTTTGAACATACGTGTGACAAATTACCATCAGATTTTAATGGCTAATAACTATGATACTAACAATGCGAAGACAATAGTCAATCTGACTACAAATAGATCATATCTGTACCTGTTGTTTGTAACATCGTAAAGAATATATCTGTGAATAAAACTTAGTACTAGTTTAAAAGAACTAATAATTCACGTAATTAAAAATTTTCACACAACTATTTTCAGAACGGTAATATAAAGCGGCCTGATGTGATTCGGGACAGCCCAAGACACGCTTCGAGACCTCATTTAGTCAACAGGTGGGTATTTCAATTCAACATTTAACTTAAGATAATTTTCAAACGAAACTGATAGACAATGAAGTAAGCCGTCAAATAAATATAATTTGTTTAAATATTTTCCACAACGGAATCAAACTTTCACCACCACTAGTCGTCAGAATTTAGGAGCGCCTACGGACATCGGCAATAGTAGCGGCACAGCCAAACGATGCCCGCTCCTGACGATTGTAACTATACTTGAGACCTTAGAACTTACATCTCAAGGTGGGTGGCGTATTTACGCTGTAGATGTCTATGGGCTCCAGTAACCACTTAACACCAGGTGGGCTGTGAGCTCGTCCACCCATCTAAGCAATAAAAAATATAAATAAATCGTGCGTGTCGATCGGGCGTGTTGTGCCGCCGCCCGTTGCTGCCGCGGAGCAGTAATGCAGTAATGCGCATCGCGAGTGACGTGTGCCCCGTGCGCGGCAGGTCGGGGGGCGGCTACCTCACGGCGACGGCGGCGCTGAGTCGCGGCGGGGAGCTGGACCTGGCCGCGCACCACGCGCACTACGGGCTCGAGAACAGGAAGAGCATCCTCGTCAACGGGTACCCGGTGAGTTCACGTTGCTATTTTTTCCCCTAACTATGCTGATAGCCTTGAGAAGCTATATCAGCTACGCCCTAACGTGTAGGGGAGCTCAGAGAGCTCAAACCGGAGTATCGCTAACACTGGCCCTAGCAAGAACCGTGCTTCCCAGAATCTACCACCAGATCGGAAACGCGACCCACTGAGAAGGTCCGGCGAGAAACTCAGTGGGCTATCGTTCCCGAGTTATGTTTCAGCAAGAGATAAAAATAATTGCCCGTCAAACCCGCCAGTTTCTTCCCTTTGAAGATCGGCAGTGAGTCTTAACTGTATAGAAATCATGATTGGATGATGGATTGGCGCGGGATTGAGGAATTCAGTGGGCTGTGTCTATGGGTTAATTCGCTCGTCGAGGCCTTCGTCGCAAGCGACGGGTTCCACGAAGACGGTGACCGGTGCTTGTGGTACCTAAAAGCACCATTAATGGATCGGGAGGATCCTTAATGACGTGTTTTGGGCGACATCGACTAATTACCATTCGGTCTACACACTCTACAGGATCGGGTATGTGTCGTCCTTAATGACCACTCGATCGATTGAATACAGTGGGTCTCTTCAAAACGGAAGTTACGACTAAAGAACAGATTGTATTAAGTAGACATAAATACAATTACCTTTGAGGATTATTCTCGCGTTTTTTTTTAAATGTCTTTATATTCTTTCCGTATATATATATTATATATCCCTTCAAGCGCGAACCGTCTATAGGTCGACTCAGTCGGCAGTGCGGAGCATCGGAATACCGACTATTGCGTAGTTGTTTGCTTATAGGTATCGACTTGTACGGATGTTTCTTAGGGCGCGCATGTATAACGTTTTTAATAAGTTAATAATATTTGAATTTAAAATGATTTTTCTGTAAATTTAGCATTTAATTTCTGTTAATATTTTAAGTTAAAAGTTTTTTATAAGTGACTTTCAAGAATCCTTTAGCAAATTATGTCTCTTAATTGTACTCGCTAAATTAGATATGATCTCTATACGGTCCAGGTAATGACTTGCTACACGGCCTCCGCCCCGGAGAGCCCGAGCACGGCGGCGCCCCCACCCCCGCCCGCCGACGCCTTCGACAACCGACCGATCAATGGGTAAGTTTTGTTTTATTGCTGATGCCTAAAAAGTCCGTATAATTTCGGGATAAAAGGTGGCTTCTGTCATTTTCTTACCCAGTACCGTGTCGTTAAAGAATCATGTCAATACATTGACTTCGTTTAACGTGGAAGAAGGACACATAAAGAAACATACTTTGACATTTATCTAATTAGCTTTGACATTTTTTTGACTAGTCGTCGTGGCCTAAAGGATAAGATGTCCGGTGCATTCGTATCTAGCGATGTACCGGTGTTCGAATCCCGCAAGCGGGTACCAATTTTTTAAATGAAATACGTACTTAACAAATGTTCACGATTGACTTCCACGGTGAAGGAATAACATCGTGTAAAAAAATCAAATTCGCAAAATTATAATTTGCGTAATTACTGGTGGTAGGACCTCTTGTGAGTCCGCACGGGTAGGTAGCTCATGGTGGGTGGCGGCATTTACGTTGTAGATGTCTATGGGCTATGGTAACACCAGGTGGGCTGTGAGCTCGTCCACCAATCTAAGCAATAAAAAATATATAAGTATGGATATCCACTTGACTTACATAAAATACTGGATCGTACCTAAACCGAACATTGAATGTTCACAGAGAGTCAACGCAAACAGAGTCGACATTAGATGCGGAGAGTCAGTCGGACGCGACCAGCCAGTGGGTGGACGACAGCTTCCCGTCGCTGGGCGGCCCCTCCACCTCCACCTTCGAGTTCCCGCCCGCCTCCAAGCCCTACGAGGACAACGACCTCGACCGCTCCAACTCCAGCGAGAGCTCGTTCAACGCGCTCTCCGTGTCGCAGTACGGCGACACCATCACCGACCTCATGACCCGCATGTCCTCGGCCACGATATCCACCTCAACGAACCTCATGAACAATCTCACTTCGCGGATCACGAAATCCGAGATCAGAACTGTGGTCAGCATCTCTTCGTCGAAAGTGGAGAAGAAGAGAGACGGGAATAATATTTCGTTGAGCACCCTGTCAGTGAACAGCGGAGAGACTTCGGTGTCGGATAAGAGTTCGAGTCAAGACGTGAACTCGGAGAACGTGACGGAGAGGAGAGTGAGTCCGCCGCCCGTGAAGGCGCCCTCTACCGGCGCTATACCAAAGAGCATCAGCTTCGATGCGACGGCTGAGAAATCGCAACGGTTTGTTCATTACTTTTATTTCACAACATCTCGTGGATTGAAATATCTAGACGACGACCGATTTTTTTTTTGATAACGCCATCTTGTTGTGTCTTTAAAGCGGTTAGTTGCCCTCAATTAAGAAAATTAGTGTTAATATTCGCCAATAATGTCGGGAAGAGTTGATTATTGAAAACAAAAAATAAATCGTAGCTAGATCGATTTATCGCCCCCGAAATCCCCTATATACTAAATTTTATGAAAATCGTTGGAGCCGTTTCCGAGACTCAGATTATATATATATATATAACGGCGGCATTTTATATAACGGCGAGCGTTTTTATAATGACGACGCCGTTTGTAAACGGCGGAATCATACAAATTGCCTGCGACATATATATATTAATATACAAGAATTGCTCGTTTAAAGGTATAAGATATTGTAACGTTGCCGTAGTCTTCATACGAAATTCCTAACAACAATGTGATTCGTTATTATTACCTTATCCAAAAATAGCTTAATATGCTTCTCACTTGGTTTTAATTAACAAATCTGGAAACACAATATCGGGTTAAATTTTGAAAAATTCATCATTTAATACACGTACGTAATTAGTATCATTATCGGAGGTATTTCGTTATCACTTTCTTATAGTTTCGATCACCTAGACTATACATTTTTAGAATACAACTAGCCGTACCCGTCCGCTTCGCTAAGCATTTAAAATTATTATTTCTCACCCCCACAACCCGCAACTGATGTAGGGAGTCCAACACTCATATAAATATTAGCCTATCCATTAAGTACATGTATTTTCTACATGGATACCAAGTTACAAGTCAATCGGATGCAAGGTTTAGTAGTTATAACGGAACATCCGTAAAAACCACTGTAGATCTATGTATTAGTATAGATATATTAAAAATAATAACTTTTTTAAATGGTTTTACAAAACAGATGAGGTGTAATCAATGTGTATGAGATGTAACTATACTGAGATCTTAGAACTTATATCTCAAGGTGGGTGGCGCATTTAAGTTGTAGATGTCCATGGGCTCCAGTAACCACTTAACACCAGGTGGGCTGTGAGCTCGTCCGCCCACCTAAGCTATAAAAAAAAATATGAGGGGTATCGAGATGAAATTAATTTAATGTTCCGATTTCATCTCTAGAATTAGGGACTTTGTTCTCAAAGTCGACTCTATCGTTTCAGAAGGCGCGCAGTCGGCGAGGACGGTCTCGCGGGGAACCTGGACGAGCTCAAGAACAACGTGAAGCGCTCCGGCGGCAACCTCCTGCACAAGATCAAGATGTTCAGGCACATCGGCCGGTCTCAGCAGCACCACGGTCAGCGAGCCCCGCACACCCATATACTTCTATTTTTTTTATACCTTAGATGGGTGAACGAGCTCACAGCCTGGTGGTTACTGGAGCCCATAGACATCTACAACGTAAATGCCACCACATTGAGATATGAGTTCTAAGGTCCCAGTATATTTACAACGGCTGCACAACCCTTCAAACCGAAACGCATTACAGCTTCACGGCAGAAATAGGCAGGGTGGTGGTACCTACCCGCGCGGACTCACTAGAGGTCCTACCACCAGTAAAGTGGTAGTAGTAAAGCTTCTAGTTCATTTCCACTTCGACGACAACCCCAACCCCGGCTTCGTTTCACTTCCAACTCATTAAACCAACAAAGATAAATTTTCAAATTTACTTATCAGAGTCAAGGGGTCCGTTATGTATGATTTCAACTTTACAGATTATATTCGTTTGTAACGTATAATCTGTGCGATTATTTTTCATAATTATGATTTCCTTGAATATTCGATAAAGAATCAGAGCAAACCCTAAAAAACTAACAAAATACCAGTTTTAAAAATCTTCGAAAATTCTAAGAATACTGTATTCTCATGCCAGCTCATACAGCCAAATGTTTTGTAACTAAACACAATTAAATAGGATTAAATGAGGTGAAATGAGATAACACTGAATGGCCCGTACTTTAGTTGTATAAAATGAAATAAACTCTCAGTAGGTAATTCACTAAGAGCTTTATCGACTTATTTCAAAAGCGTCCAGCTATTTTCTCAAATTAGTGCGCTGTTTATCGATACTGAAAGGTGAATAAGTCACTATTATTGCATGTTTGAATCAAAAGAGGGACTATATTGCGACAAACCAACCAATCGTCAACTTTCTACAAAAAGTTCAACAGGCCCAAACGACTTACTCACTAGTCGTAGTAGTACCATTGCTACGTGAGGGGAACACAAACAAAAAACACAATAGAATCTGCACATTAAAAGAAACTTAAAACGAATTTTAGGATAACTTTTCAATAAACAATTCGTACCAAAAATTAACAGCCTTAGAGAAACATAGGCAACACCAATAAAATGATACACGGCTACTATTACTACCACTACAGGACTAATTTTTATTTTGTTAACAGACATAAAGCTACCCGAAGAAGATTGTCGCATCGACGAGGGCGCCCGACCCGAAGCCGCGCCCGGCGAGAGCTCCGAAGACATCCTCGCCAAGTACCGCCGGAAGAGCTCCAGCGACTCCAGCGGTAAGAGGCGGCCGCAGCTACGCCTCGCCGATGTACCGGACGCCGACCTAGAGAGGTTCGTCCACACCACATGATATTAACGAAACTATTATATAGGTGTAGTGTTTTTTTTCATCGAATTACCCACAGACATAGCCCACTGAGTTTCTCGCCGGATCTTCTCAGTGGGTCGCGTTTCCGATCCGTTGGTAGATTCTGCGAACCACTGCTCTTGCTAGGGTTCGTGTTAGCAACGTCATCAGGTTTGAGCCCCGTGATCTCACCTACTAGTTAAGGTTACGCTGATATAGCCTCTCAAGGCTATCAGCTTAGGTAGGAAAAAAAAACATCAAAATTACATGATCCATTCCCACTCATTGTAGATTACATCTTAAAAATATAAATTTTATTTGAAACATGCATCTCATCCACTATTCATTTTTCCAGGTGTGAGGGGGTCGTGAACCTGAATGATCCAGAGGTATTCAACAGTATGAAGCAGAAACTTCGGATGGTACTGTCCAATCCAGATCTGCACTGTGTCGACTATGTACCTAACGTGAGTAACGCATCGCTCGATCCCATTAATTGAGATTAAATTATTTAAAGTATAATAACAATAGCCATCTTCAGTTACCACAGATCCAGTAAACAAATGACAAGACTTTATATAAATGCCAATTAAAAATGTGCACGTTGCATTCATTTCGTTAAAATTCGTATAACACTTTAATTAATGAATACGTAATCAACTAGCGTATATGAAGTCGAATATCTCTGGTGTTAGATTGCAATTAAAAAGACTTCGACCTTATATCTGAAGGCAGGTGGCGGCGTCCATGCTGCGACCTCTATGAGCCCCCGAGACCAGTGTGGCACAGCAAGCAGGTCGCGAGGCAAGGTAGATCTCGTGCGCAGTCGCCTCGGTACAGTGTGCGGATAATAAACTGAAAAATAGACCGTCGTCCACCATTTTTTACAACTTCGTGGGTGGTGATCTTACGTGTGGCTTCTGTTTGCGCACGTTTAAGAACAAGATAGGCTACCATGGCCATATTAGAGCGCATGAGAGGCGCGGACATTAGCTTTTAAGTTATTGAACAGAAAATTTTAGTTGCCGTTGCCGAAACGAATTATAATTTTCGTAATTACTGGTGGACCTCTTGTGAGTCCGTGCGGATGGGTACCACCACTCTGCCTATTTCTACGGTGAAGTAGTAATGCGTTTCGGTTTGAAGGGTGGGGCAACCGTTGTAACTATACTTGAGACCTTAGAACTTATATTTCAAGGTGGGTGGCGCATTTACGTTGTGGATGTCTATGGACTCCACTTAACACCAGGTGGACTGTAACCTCGTCCACCCATCTAAGCAATAAAAAAAAACCGGCTTGGAACCATGATGATGATGATGGCACTGTGCGGGCCCGCAGCGCGTGACGAGCTCGTCGCTGGTGGAGTGGATGCGCGCGGCGGCCGCGTGCGCCGGCTGCGAGTCCGGAGCGTCGCACGCGCACGCGCTGGGCCGCGCGCTGGGCGGCGACGCGGCGCTGGACGGGCGGCTGGCGGCGGCGCTGCGGGCCGACCTGTGCGCGCGCCGCCCCTACGCCGCCTACCTCGCCTCCTGCCGCGCCGCACTCGCGCACGCCGAGCGGGCCCTGCTGGCGTGAGTCTACTCGATACTACTTAACTCAGCGGTCGGGGAACCCAAGTTAATTATCCCAAATCGGGTAAAATGAAATTTTGGGAGGTAAAAATAAAACTTTTGTGAATTACATTGATAAATTGAACAAATTGTGTTTAAATTAAATTTTTTGTTATTATTTTCTTTTCAAAATTATCAAATGAAAGATGCTAAAAAAAGCGATTTCGTTTTTTTTTTGTTCTTCGCCATTGGGTAATATCAACTTACACAAAAATATTTTGGGGTAATAATTAAAAAAGTTCCGCGACCACTGATTTAACTTGATGAACCTGGTTGTGCCGGTAGCCTTAAAAAAACACAAAAACTTGAACGTTATTAAAACTTTGCAATGCACTCACAAAGAAAGAAAGAAGAAAGGAAGAAATCATTTATTCGCTAAGAATAGTGAAAATGAGTTATTACATAAGTTAAAAGCAGCGTGTATGCTTTGTCATTATTTGACATGCGAATTTTAGTGCAGTGCAAGATATTATAATATTATATAATTTACCATTCATTCATCCATAATTCAACATAATTCAGATAATAATTTTCACTAATAAACATTAATGTTGATTTTCCAAAAAAAATATAATCCAAAAAAATATTTGTAAACAGCTCATAATATTATAATTAATCTCTCAGATGTAATTGACGAGGAAAGTGACGTACATACAAAACGAATATCGTTGACAGGCAAATAAAGCTCGTGAAATCGGAATGCTCGTCGTGCGGGCGCGCGGCGGCCGCGGCGCGCGTGCTGCAGCAGCTGGAGCGCGGGCACGCACTGCGCCGCCTCGCCGCGCACCACCTGCGCGCCGCCCCCCTCGCCTGCGGTAACTACTTCCTGCCCTACATGTAACCGACGAAACTGCAAGGAGTATACTGATCTGATTACGAACTCGTCGTGGTCTAAAGGATAAGATATCCGGTGCATTTATATCTAGCGATGCACCGGTGCTCGAATCCCGCTGGCAAGTACTAATTTTTCTAATGAAATACGTACTTAACAAATGTTCACGATTGACTTCCACGGTGAAGGAATAACATCGTGTATTAAAATCAAATCTGCAAAATTATATTTTTGTGTAATTACTGGTGATAGGACCAGTTCTGAGTCCGCACGGGTAGGTACCACCATTCTTTCTATTTCTGCCGTGAAGCAGTAATGCGTTTCGTCGCGTCGATTTATTAAAAGATTTAAAAGTGCTTTTAAATCTTTTGAAAATCAATCATGTCTTTATATTTTATACCATCTAATTTATAACGAAATGTTAAGATTGATATTTCAATTTAAATTCGTTTTATTGTATTCCAGGCGGGGAACTGATGGACGAGAAAGCAACAAGACTGACTGCCGGTATCAAAGCAATCATCGCTGAGGTGAAGGCCGATCCTTCCTGGGAAGGTACGTCACTGTTGTCCGGCTGCGACAAACCTCAAAGGAGGATTTTATATTGCAACAATTTATGAACACGTGTGAGGAATGTTCGAGAAAAGAGTTGCATATAAAGACGATGAATCATTTTTTGAGCATCGTTGTTTAAGCCCAATAAAGAGGAGTACATGTTTATCAGAAAAACAGCTTGGTTGCAAGATTTCTACGTTTTGTTGTACCTTACGAGAGAAAAGACAAAAAAGTAACACATATTTTATTGCAAACTCCGTTCCCTTCCTTATGGCCCTAAAACTTGGTATACTAAAGTCACAACCATAACATGCTAATTTTAAATTTATACGGCCCATATAATTATATATAATCAGCGTTTCACCATACGCCATGATTTTATGATGGAATTTTACCTCAAAACAATTCAAAATGCTTAATACTTAATCCCTTTGCTCAATAGTTTTAAGCTTGACTTATCCAAACTTCATAAAGCAGTCAATTGTCTAGGCACATGAATTGAATAACAGAATTGCATTGAAGAGCTATGTTAGTGACTTGTAATTCAAAAGTTTGCCAACGTCATCGATAGATGGCGCTGTTCAGTTTGTAGCTAATTCTGAATCGCGCCATCGCTGTGTCTCAACGAAAAATATAAGTAGTTCAGATGACTGTCAATTCGATATCTCTGGTTTCCCTTCAAAACGTATAAATCTTTCGCCTTTTACTAAAGATTTCCGTGGAGGGGAACACTCAAATGAGTCTATAATATTTTTGATGCCCTGACTTGTCAGGGTTATATAACACATATCAAAAAAATACATTTATAATCCGGATGACTTGATGTATTCTCTTCTGATTCAATTGATTTTTTATCAAGAGTAAATAAGTCTATAGGAGCGAACGTAGCGATGTGAACCGATTATCATTTCTGGCTCCGATTTATTGCCGATTTGTTTCTCAAAAAACCGGTTTTTAAGGTATTTATTTATAGGTTTTTCCATAAAGGCTAAATAATCATTAAATTAAACAAATTCATACAAACGAAGAGTTTTCTTCATACAGGTTAGCACCGCACTGTGGAGAGGTTAATAACCAATAATTTTATATAGGCTTGATCATATTATCCAATAATAAAAAGCCTTTTATTTTTGATTTAATACTATCGATTTAATACTAACTTGAGTCTGAAAAAACACGGTGTTTTTTATCTAGCAGCATGGTATTATATATTATATTTTTATTCATTGATTATCGACCCTTTTCCTCACCATAAAACATAAAAATAATTAATTTTTATAATACTTCCTAAACAGAGTGTACATTTACGAGAATCCTAAGCAGATAGAAAATTCCTATGTATCTCTTGGGGCCAAATGGACATCTGCCTGCTGTTACTGTTATTACTATATTTATTTTATATTTATTTGTCATAGAATGTTCAGCTGTTTCTTCCCTCACTCGTTTCTCTTTCTTAATAAAAGTTCACAAAACGGCTCCATCAGAGCCCAGAGGTGATTTTTAGTGCGACCAGGATGAATTAGATGCAGATACAGTCATCGTCCGTTCTGAGATTGCCACACCCTAATCCTATGATTCTGTATCTATGGTAGCAGAGGATATTGACATTCTTCTCGTGCCCACATCATTATGAAGAAAGCAGTCCAGTTTATTTTTTAATACCTACAAAAGAGCGTACATCTGGTCAATTATACTGTCCTTCAAGTTTTTTTGGGAAGTGAAATAATTTCAACCTTTTATTGGTATGTGTATATATATATTTCTAATACAAGTTCTGCCACATCACAGAAGAAGGGTCGTCGTACCGCCTTTCGGGGGCACGGAACGGGCCTCGGGGCAAACCCCACTGCCCGGAACGAAGCTCCCTGCCACACAGGGCAGGGGTGAAGTGTTGCAAGACGGGATTAGGGGGGCTGTTCGTATGCGCGTTCGGCGCACTCCACATCGACAAAAATATATACATAAACATAATACGATGGGCTTGGTTCTGTTGGGCGGAGTGATGCCCGCGTAGGAGTCACCCCGGCGCCGGCTGCTGTCCTCTGCTTGATTTTTTTTTTTTTTTTTTTTTTTTTTTTTTTTTTTTTTTTTTTTTTTTTTTTTTTTTATTTAATAGCGCGTTCCCCTAACGAGTAAGTGTCAGGGACATTTTTAAGGCTTTTTGGCTTGTTTACTGTTTTTTTATTTTATTTGGTATACAATATATGAATTTGTATATTAGATTTGCGATTGAGTCAATTACTATTTTTATTGCATTTTATTTCCTTTGTACTTCTTTCTAATTTGTACTTCTTTTTCTTTTATATTTACATTTTTTACTTTCATTGCATTACATTTTCCTTAACTCTCTTACAATATTTTACTCAAAATNATTATGAGCACTCCCATATCACTCCGGTTAAGCCGACTATCTTACCATAGCCGGGGGTTCCAGTAGCTCCCTTGGTAGCGCCTGACCATCAGGTGGTCTGGCGTGCAAGGGAGCTATATTGTGGAGATGCTCGTGGGGTCCACCGTCAGCCCGCTCGTACATATTACGAGCTAGCCTCCGGATGAACTCCTCGAGCGACTCCAGACTCTAGATCCCGGGCGATTACGTCATTTCTGACGTAACGCCCTGCTCCGACTATCGTGCGAAGAGCTAGATTCTGCTGGGCCTGTAACTTCACCCGCATGATCTGCGGGATGAGGTGGCCACATCACAACAAATCCACATTTCTAGTACCTATACTTTCCATCCCATGCTTCGAATCGCTTGAATATTTTGACGCTTTTCTTTGTAGTCAATAGATGTCGCTGTTTCGAAACTAAATCGCGGTATAGAGATATGTTAAATTTTATTTAAGTTAATTTCCATGCCAATAGTTCTTCCTTGAGATATAAGGTTTAAAAGTCGCACAGTGTTTACACTGTGCTTGTTTTTGTAGAGGAATTGTACGTTCAATTGTACGAATCCTTCATTATGCAATGATATTAATTAAGTAATAAAACAATTACAATTACATATAAAGTAAGATAAACTTTAATAAGCGGTACTAGACTAGCCTTGCCAATTATAGCGCTAATTATTCAAATCAACGAAATGACTAGTAGAATTATTTTGTCCGTGCAGATTGGGTAATAAAAAATCGGAGCGGTGAAGCGAGTATTTCGCTCTCTCTTCCACTCACGAGCCTTATGGACTATATGGACAGGCATGGTGAATTTAGTGATGCGCATTATTGTATTTAGTTATGTCATTTTGTGGGTTAGTGATAAAAATGAAAGAAAACATCACTAATCGAACACTTACATCTTACACCACATCGCCGCAGCAAGTTTAGGAGAACGGCAGAAATTAACACTTTGTAACTTTTTTGGATCTATTCTTATTTCAGTGAAAAAAAAATACACATTGTTGATGTGTAAAATTTCGACGTGTGTCAATATTATTTTGAATAAATTCTGCCGTTTTGATACAAAACAAAAGAGTAGCCATTGTGTCACTAAATAAATTCAGAGAACGAATGCATAACAATTGAGAAGTATGTGACTAGGAAAACAAACAACCGTTCTGAGCGCGTACTGGTTTATTACTGTCACGATCAGCATGGACAAACAGTGCCATACATATCATTCCTCCACACTAATTTTGGAACCTGACAACAATAGAAATTAAATATAATCAATAATAGAATTGCTTGTAATCAACTCTCTTCTTGCGACGTGTGAGCGGTGGGGAATAAGTTAAGGACGAGGGTCCGGGCTGATGTGGATCAGAAACAGGTGAGGTACGTTTAGACGCGACTGGTGACGACAACGCCAGCGGCGGCGCCGGAGGCTCGGCTGAACTGCCAGGAACTAGGTTCTCCCGTTCAAGGTCAACTTCTTCGCAATCACCCCAGATCTCGTCAGTTGGCTGGACAATGTCACCAATATCGGTTACTACATTTTCTTGCTCGTTACGTCCGTCTCCACTTTCCATTCCCACAGCCTGTTGAGCTACAGAAGTCATAATCGAACCATCGCTATAATTGGTTTTGATATCACTGATGTCCCAGAACCAGAATCTAACTCCATTGTTATGCTCTTGCCACCTAGCAATAATTTTAAATTAATCGGCTTATCAGACACGTACTTTAAACTATAATTATGACATTCCTCACAATGGTCAGGATCCGGAATGTGGCCGACACCTTTATCGTGGTCATCACAAATATTATTGATCTGCACATTTTTGTCACACACTTTTTTTAAATGTCCCTTTTCACCGCACTTCTGACAGCGATAGCCCTTGTAACGGCACTTCTCTTCGTCGTGGTTTCTTAACCCGCAAACCGAGCACCTTGGGAAGTCACGACGTGGTTGCTGCCCGCGAACTGATTGACCATCACCAAGGTGGGACCGCTGCCGCTGCCCTGAATAACCACTGCTTGGCTCACTCGTCCGCGCTCGTCGATTAGCTTCACGTCTATCGTCGAGCGTGAAGGAGGCACGGTACACAGGTTCTTCCTTAACACTAACTTCCATGAACTTAGCCTCCCTCGCACTCTCTGCCTGCTGGGCTATTTCTAACGCTCGATCGATTTTCATTTTTGATGGGTCCTGCTCGTACAGCTTATCTCGTGCTGGACCTGAGCCCAGGCCTAGGACAAAACGATCCGTAAGGTTCGTTTCCAAAGCCGCGCCGAATTCGCAATAACTTGCCAACCCCCTAAGTCGCGCCGCCCAGTCTCCTAATGATTCGCCTGGGGTTCTCGTAGCCCCATAAAAACGAGCCTTGTCGGTATATGAACACTTCTTTGGCTTAAAATGATTATCGAGTAATGAAACCAGCTCCACATACGAAAATGAATCAGCATCTTTGGGGTATGCTAAATTTCGCACTAGACGGTACGCCTCATCGGAGAGGTGCGTAATGAGGATAGCACTTTTCTTTTCTTCCGATACGTCATTTACTTTTAAAAACTGTGTTAAACGACTCTTGAAAATAGACCATTCACATGTTTTATGATCGTAAATTGGTAAATTTCCCAAATAAGACATTTTTTTATTTTTATTTTACGCGTGGGTAAATTAATACGACTCGTCGCCAGTGAGAAGTATGTGACTAGGAAAACAAACAACCGTTCTGAGCGCGTACTGGTTTATTACTGTCACGATCAGCATGGACAAACAGTGCCATACATATCATTTCTCTTCGACATAATGTTATATAATTTGCAGGTAAGTACAAATGACTCTTAACATAACAATGTCTCACCACCCTTCCATTTGTTTTTATCGATAATGGCGTTGCGCCCGCGCAATATGCTCACCGCCCTAGCCGGGCTATGTTTTATAACCCAAACTGCACGGACAAAATAATTCTACTACAGGGACTACTCAGTACTAACCCGTCCCTGCTCTTGCATAAGATCCGCCCCGTCACTTCCGGCCTCTTAGTCATTCTGCTCTGCGGCGAGATTAACGAATAAGGCTAAGTTCATTCATAACCGCGCGGAACTACTCACCGCGCTGTACAAGATCAATCTAAGCAGTGTTTCTTACAGTTACGGTACAGATTCTGCAAAACTATCTACCTTTTCAGCTGATCTGCGCGGTTTGAGCCGGACAGACGTATAGATCGAAGAAAAATGAGTACCTAGTGAAGACGATATCGCGTCTATCGATTTTAAATAGTTTTCAACGCAATCATATAAAAAATCAAAAGATGCACCTGACATCCTAAAGTAGGTATAGTTATAAAATTCCAGACTCTCACGCGTACATATTCTGTCATGTGAACGCTTCCACCGCGCGATCATATCAACGCTTGAAAGGCAAACGTAACTAAGCGACAATGCGTGAACTTTACAGTAGACTAATTTAAAGTTGAAATACCTGAAAAAAAAATCTATTTTAACGAATCTCGGTTGAAAGGATTGAAATTATTTTAATAGACCTAGAAATATATTTTATTTGCGCATTGAATATGGTTATTGCCTATCATTTACGTACAAAGCAGATATTGTCGCTTAGTCACGTTTGCCTTTCAAGCGTCGATATGAACTTAACCTAACGGTATTAAATGTAACGTTTATTGGTGCAGGTGCAACGCAGAACATTCTAGAAATGGCGGAGCTTACCGTAGAGCGAGCCGCGTTCGCGAGGCTCTATCTCCACGTGCTGTTCCCCAACGGAGATGGCGACATTGCACGTGACCAGTAAGGATTTTTTTTTATTGCCCTGTAGGCAGACGAGCATATGGCCCACCTGATGGTGAGTGGTTACCGTCGCCCATGGACTTCAGCAATGCCAGGGGCAGAGCCAAGCCGCTGCCTAGACTGGAGGATACTGTATTGTTAAACTGCATTCGAAGGATCCGAGACGTTTGATCCAACTGTATGACTTTCAGATATTAATTGAGGCACGTGTTAATTCGTTAGTTTCCTGAAAGTTCTAAGAAGAACTGCGGTGAATTACGTTTTGGGACTGGCATAAATGGATCTTTTAAGTTTTAAAAATTGTCTTCATATTGTTTGTTTAAAAAGATTGTTCTAAAATAATAATCAAACTGCTTGTTACCACTTTGTTCTATTACAATTCGAGTTTTTTTTTGTTACCATAAATTATGTAAGATTTTTTCCACCTCATTAAACATAGTAGTGTAAGACAGCTCAGAAAAGCTCTCAAATACTATACCTGGTACATATGGTAATGGTAATATAGCAATAAATAATTTAAATTTATTGATTTAAACTATGTGTATTAGGTGTAATTTGTTTATTTATTGATAACCCATTATCGGATTGTAACAAGTAATGAATTAATTAATGTTTTACTTAATACTTTGTTTTAAATAACATAGTGTCAGAAGAATATTGTGATTTTATAAATGTTGTACACATTTTGTTGCTATTATAATTCTGTTCGTAATGTTCGTATATCTACGAGTATAACAGTAATAGTGAAAGAAAAACTTTGTAGTTTGAAAGGAAAGTTCTCTTTCGTTTTTTTTTTAACTCTACAATTATAGAATATAATTGAGTATCCGATTTCGAAAAGGGCACATCTCTGAAAATGTAAAATGTTCAGGAAATGAAAAAAAACTGATTATTTTCTAAAGCAGTGTAAAATTTAAAATATTAACTTTTGAGATATATTTTGGCGTTAATTAGCAATTGAAAATTACTGGAATTATTATAAAATGGGTGTAGGTAAGCCTCAAAACTACATGTATATGAAAAAACGTATTTGACAAAATATGCGACATGTGCCCTTTTCGAAATTGCATGTTCAATTATGGATTGCTTTAAGTACATAGTTGTTGTGAGTGTCATGCGTGGTTGCGTGCGGCAGGGTGCTGAGCGAGCACATCCGGCGGCTGGCGGCGTGCACGTGCGCGTCGCGTGCGGGCGTGGCGCCGCGCCACCTGTGGGCCGCGCCCTTCCCGCGCGCGCAGGCCCTGCTGCGGCAGCTGCCCGGATACCGCGCGCCCGCCGACAAGGTGACCGACATTTTTTTTTTCCTACCTAAGCTGATAGCCTTGAGAAGCTATATCAGCGTCACCTTAACTAGTAGGTGAGCTCACAGAGCTCAAGCCTGACGACGTTGCTAACACAAACCCTAGCAACAGCCGTGCTTCGCAGAGTCTACCACCGGATCGGAAACGCGACCCACTGAGAAGATCCGGCGAGAAACTCAGTGGGCTGTGTCTGAAGGTTAATTTACTCGTCGAGCCCTTCGTCGCAAGCGACGGGTTAGACGAGAACGGTGACCGGTGCTTGAGGTACCTAAAAGTATCGTTAGTGGATCGGGAGGATCCGAATGACGTATTTGGGGCGACGTCGACTGCTTTCCATTCTGTCCGTAGAATCGGGAATGTGGTGACCGACGCCGACTGCAACAAGTTATATCAAGGCCTGATAGACTAGTCGGTTTAAGCGACGTTTCGGTTAATACGCGACATTTTATCTTTGTAATTAAAGATCCGTTTTATTTGGTATGATATGTCAACGATTCCATGTTCATAATTGAACTTCAATTATGTTTACCATATTCAAATAGTTGAAGAAGTTTTTCAAGTGAAACTTCTAATGCGACTTTGAGGTTGCGTTAAACGTTTAACGCTACAATGCTAGAAAGAAACAGAGTGACAGTAGATGTGTGGCACTCGAACGCATGCGCGTAGTATAATTGTTACAGGCCAGCGCGAGCGTTAGCAACGAGTAGCGTCCAATATATAACGATGTATTTAAAAAAATATATATTTATTTTTCTATCTACATATAATTTAAAGTATTGTATAATATAAATGTTGAAGATGTCGCATCTCTTATACACAACCGGTCATCGTACTCGTTGAACCCGTCGCTTGCGACGAAGGGCTCGATGAGTAAATTAAGCCACAGACACAGCCCACTGAGTTTCTCGCCGGATCTTCTCAGTGGGTCGCGTTTCCGATCCGGTGGTAGATTCTGCGAGTACGGCTCTTGCTAGGGTTCATGTTAGCAAGTCGTCAGGTTTGAGCCCCGTGAGCTCACCTACTAGTTAAGGTTACGCTGATATAGCCTCTCAAGGCTCTCAGCTTAGGTTTTTATACACAGCAAGAGCAATTTTATATCCCTATTACAAGAGCAATCTGATTTAAAGATGAAAAACGAAGGAAACCACAATACTGCACATCGAAAAAGACGTTTCACTTCATTCAGACATTCAAGTGTACCAAGTTGCACGCGCACCGTTTTTTTTTGTCATGTTATTATTACTAAATTTAAAACCTTGAATGGCTCTCTTGTAAAGATGCAAAAATGTCGTTTAAGCCAAATAACCTTTCACCTTTCGGTGTAGTTTCATAGTCTCTCATTAAAATGTTTTCGTTCCTCAGATCGCGTGCGTCACCCAATGTGTGACGTCAATAATGGCGGTTCTGAACCTCACGGAATGCACCGCGCCCTCTGCTGACGACCTCACGCCGGTCCTCGTGTATGTCATTATAAAGGTGCGTATTATCTAACGAGACTATTTGTTACTACTGGGCAGATATAAAATGTCTCCCAACGCTTATTGTCATGTATTATGATAGCATCCAAATATAATTCAATTCTTTTTTTTATTGCATAGAAGGGTGGACGAACTCACAGCTCACCTGGTGTTAAGTGGTTACCGGAGCTACTAGACATCTACAACGTAAATGCCGCCACCCACCTTGATATATGAGTTCCAAGGTCTCTGCCGGCTGCCCCAACTCTTCAAACCGAAACTCATTACTGCTTCACGGCAGAAATAGGCAGTATATAATATGTATTCTTAATGACTTAAGGGAATAGTAATTATAATTTAATTTAATGATTCTACGCATGCTGTAGTGCGAAGACAATGAATGTCATTCACTAAAGATGGTTTATTTTTATAATATCACTTCTAAAAATAAATATTTTATTCGATTTCTATTATTTTATAGTATTCTTAAGATGTAATGAATGTGATGTTTTCATTTGTAGTAGTATTTCGAACAGTTATCAGAAGGATATTATGATCGCAGGTGAATCCGCCGTCGTTGCTGTCGACGATCGAGCTGGTGAGCGCGCTGGGCGGCGGCGCGCGCGGCGAGCAGCACTACTGCTGGACGCACTTCTGCGCGGCCGTCGCATACATCAAGACCATGGACTACACCCCGCCGCCCATCTAGCGCCGCCCCGCGCGCACGGTGCGTACCCCACCCCCCCGTACTCAACCGTGCCAGTACTGAGCCATCTAGCTCATCTTATTTCTTCATCACAAGCAACAATTTTCTTCTTCTATATTTTTGGGTCCGGCACGGTTCGTGCATTAGCCAGCGACAAGTAATAAGATTTTTATGATTCGCCGTTTTAATTATGTACAGTTTATGAATAATAATAAAACGAAGGAAACTCAAATTAATCAACTGACATGAAATTAAATGAACTGAGATGAGATGATATGGGATGAAATATAATCTCAGTAAAATGGTGGTTATTTACTGAAACTTTTTCAGTTGACTTTTTGGAGGATCACTAAAAGCCAGCGACTTTGTTTAATTTTCCCACATTTGTGCATTTTCACAGATATTCAACAGTTAATAAACCACCGCTATTACACATTTAAACCCGAAGAAACACTAAATAAACAAAATAAAACAATTCACACAACTTAGCTCTTCGCGTTCCCGCTAAAAAGTGCCGAGATTTTTTTTTAAAACAGACAATTATTTAATTACTACATACTATATAACACTATAAAAGCAGCACATGCCACAGACAACATAAACATACTCCTCCAATAAATTCTGACTTTTTGGCGGATATGCGAGGAGCAAAGGAGACTGAAACGATTACATACATTTTTGGGCCCGAATGTAACGTGATGAAACTAATATGAATTAATAGATTCAGATTTATCAGTACCTTGCTGAAAATTATAAAAGTTTTCTCAATCTGAGAGCCGAGTTAATAAAGATTTAGTAAAAGTTAGGTTATGTTACAATATCTTTAAAAGAGCTGAAAAATAACTTATTTAAGCATAAGTAAATGTTTATTATATCCATTGGATAATCTTTTAAATGTCATATTATGAATGAATATCAATGATATATATCAGGTATGGAATATGGAATTGCTATCCCACAATTCAGACAGCGATCCATAATTTCAACAGTATCCAATGCAACAATTTCAAGTCAAACGTGTGAGCGATCTTCGGTGTCCAGTGTAGAAGCAATTGTCGTACAAGGCTGGCAGAGTTGGATTCCGTAATAATAAAGCAGTGATCGTTGAAAATATAAAAACAGACCGATAGATACACACTCAAAATGCGTCGAAGATACAAAACGAGTAGAGCAGAAAAAACCAACAAGCGCCAAAAAATAATTGTTTAATCTATGAACAAACGTCATGTCAGCTTACTGTCAAAGCTGTCATCAAAAATACAATCGATTTTAATCGATTTGAAATCGATAATCATATTACTTTGTTTTTTTTTTTTTTTCTACCTAAGCTGATAGCCCTAGCGGCTATGTCAGCGTAACCCTAACTTTAGTAGGTGAGCTCACGGGGCTCAAACCTGACGATGTTGCTAACACGAACCCTAGCAAGAGACATGCTTCCCAGAATCTACCACCGGATCGGAAACGCGACCCACTGAGAAGATCCGGCGAGAAACTCAGTGGGCTGTGTCTGAGAGTTAATTTACTCGTCGAGCCCTTCGTCGCAAGCGACGGGTTCGACGAGAACGGTGACCGGTGCTTGAAGTACCTAAAAGCACCGTTAGTGGATCGGGAGGATCCGAGATGACGTGTTTTGGGCGACGTCGACTGCTTTCCATTCTGTCCGCAGGATCGGGAATGTAGTTACCGGCGGCCACGATGAGAGGGTTCTCGTGTCGTGCCGCTTTATCGAAGTGGCGCATGGACGCCGACTGCAGATACTTACTGATGGACTCTAAGTCCAGGTCGTCATGGAGGTCGACGTTCCTGACGAACCACGGGGCTCCGACGGCTATCCTGCAAAAACGGGATTGAATGATTTGGAATGATTTTAAGTGTATGCGGGCCGCGTGAGCGAACACTACACTTGCATAGGTCATGACGGGGCGTATGCAAGTTTTGTAGAGTGTCACCTTATTTCTAAGGGACATTTTACTTCGCCTACATATCATCGGGTAGATTACTTTGTTAAGTAATAATAGACTTTTTCTTCATTTAGGTATATAACCGCAATTAAATCCGGCGTATACCGCACTTGTATACAACAAGTATAAATCGCTCATTTAATTACTTTGCATTAATTACCTAGTGCAATGTTTTTCTTTTTATAATCCTGTAATCGATTAATTAAATCGATCACACCGTTATACCGACAAAAACTAACTTTCTCATTTTTCTCCGGTCCCAGAAAGAGGATTGAGGTGATTTTTTATATTCTCATATAAAAAAATATGACAAATTTTTTAGACTACATTCCAAGTTATTACATTTTTGGCCCACGATTTTCCGTCTCCTTTGTGTGAATTGTTTTATTTTGTCTATTTAGTGTTTGTTCAAATTTAAATATGTAATAACGGTGGTTAATTAACTATNACGGGGCGTATGCAAGTTTTGTAGAGTGTCACCTTATTTCTAAGGGACATTTTACTTCGCCTACATATCATCGGGTAGATTACTTTGTTAAGTAATAATAGACTTTTTCTTCATTTAGGTATATAACCGCAATTAAATCCGGCGTATACCGCACTTGTATACAACAAGTATAAATCGCTCATTTAATTACTTTGCATTAATTACCTAGTGCAATGTTTTTCTTTTTATAATCCTGTAATCGATTAATTAAATCGATCACACCGTTATACCGACAAAAACTAACTTTCTCATTTTTCTCCGGTCCCAGAAAGAGGATTGAGGTGATTTTTTATATTCTCATATAAAAAAATATGACAAATTTTTTAGACTACATTCCAAGTTATTACATTTTTGGCCCACGATTTTCCGTCTCCTTTGTGTGAATTGTTTTATTTTGTCTATTTAGTGTTTGTTCAAATTTAAATATGTAATAACGGTGGTTAATTAACTATTTAGTATTTGTGAGAGTGCAAAGATGTGGGAAACCAAACCGCTGGACGTAGCTTCTCGGGATCCTCCAAAAAGTCAAATGAAAAAGTCTCAGTAAATAACCACCATTTTACTGAGATTATATGTCATCCCATATCATCTCATTTCATTTCACTCCATATTATCATTTTTCATGAAAATAAGTAGTATAGTATGATACCTTTGCCTTTCCAGTTGGAAAAATAGAACTACTATTACTAATAATTTCTTCCTTTTCCAGATGTCAGCGCGTGTTAATGATTCAATGATTTCCATCGAGTGGAGATTGCGTTCTCGGCGCAACACAGTGTAGAGGCAACCGAGGTACAAGATCTTGCACAACCTCCACGTACAATATCACAGTATCATTTATTTACATTCGAATTTATATGAAAATATAATATTTATTATTTCACCGGTTCGACTTGAACTGTGTGAATATTGGATTTAATTTTTAACGATATGTGAAGACATGAGTGGATGAAGGGGATATGATATAATTTGTTAATTTTGAGAAAACTGGCAACAAGCTTTAGTTACTTGTACTGTTTTCCTCGTACTGAACTCCTTCATTATATACAATTTCAAAAAAATAGTCTTTGAAGCCGAAGTTGTAAGGTCTCTAATATGGTCTGTATATTATTTACATAACACCTTCATTTAATGTAAAAACTCAAAAATCTTAAAAATTGTACTTAAGCCCTTCATCCACTCATGTCTTCGTATAGTAGTGACACTGCTGTTGGCCGTCTGTATGTACTATACTCTGTACTGCTGTACTTTTGGACAGTGTTGCCGAAATTCAACTTTATGTATAGAATTTAGATGAATTTGTTCAAACTAAATTCAAAATTTGAAAAGATTATCTGTAACATAAAAACGTCCTCTAATCTAGAATTGGCCTTTACGTGAGTGAACGCGAAAAATATATTCCTATTATTGATAATAAATGTGGAACGCTTTCGGGAATTGATGAGTTGTAGCGACGGCGCATTTAGGCAACGGCGGATCCAGGGGAGGGTCATGGGGGTCATGACCCCCCCCCCCTCCCTGAGCTTGACTAAGGACTTGAGAGGACTTGAGCTAACTTGGACTAATTGAAGAACATCATAATTTATTTATTATCTATTGTTATCAAAATGAAATCATAAATTCTTAACTTGCCCACGACTATGTGACCCCCTCCTGGCGCCAAACCTGGATCCGCCCTTGCATTTAGGTAACTAACGTGAGTATCCGTAGCGAGCCGTCGATGGCGTTGTGTAGTGTTAATAACTAATAGATAGCATCAAATGCCGACCTGGTAGCCGACAAAGCTTGTATAAATTTTGTAATTTACATTAAAATGCCTTGCTCTAGAATCCATAACGTAATTTAGCAGATTATTAATATTATTTATTGCCTCTGATTGTATTGGGAAATTCGAAAAAAATAAAATAAAATATATTCGCTTTGTATAAAAAGGGTATTTTTAGGGTAAAAGACTTATCGTACGTGAGTTGATCAGAGTTCGTTAGGCGTCTGTGATGTAGAAGTCGGATATTAGGAGATGGTATTTTTTTTTGAAAATATTTGAGTTTTGTCTTTTAGTAATTTATACGAGCCGTTTTTTTTGTCGGGACGACAAATCGTGTCGTAGAACATTCTGCCTTCGAAATCTATCACATAATAATTATAATAATTATTATAATTCATTTATTGCAATGTAAAATGTATATAGAATTACATTATATTTTATTGATTCGAATTGCAAGTTTGTTACATGGTTCGGTCTGCTATTTGTTCAACTGTAAAAATGTTTATTGTTTATATTGATTTACGAATCGAGTATAGCAGGGCTATATTTGTTAGCTCGGTATTGCATGTTTCATTTCAATGGGTCTATTAAGCGACTCTTTGAAACTGTTTTTGGTAATTTGTGGAATGTAAATAAAATAATTGATTACTTGAAAAATAGTTGAAAATTAATAAAACTACATTTTGTTATTCGTATGCCACTGAGCGACTCTTCTGTCGCGTCACGAGTCTACACCGCGCGCAGCCTAAACCTGCTTTCAGACTACACTATAATATAATATAATAATATATACCATCCGGCTATGGAATGAGCTCCCCTCCACGGTGTTTCCCGAGCGCTATGACATGTCCTTCAAACGAGGCTTGTGGAGAGTATTAAGCGGTAGGCAGCGCCTTGGCTCTGCCCCTGGCATTGCTGAAGGCCATGGGCGACGGCACCATCAGGTGGGCCGTATGCTCGTCTGCCTACAAGGGCATTAAAAAAAAAAAAGCATATCGTTGTCAAACCAAAATCTGCTATCTGCACTTTTTGACCTTATCGTATAGCTCACAGCCCTAAATTTGATATAGTTTTTAAAAATTCACCTTCATATAAAATTTTATACGAAAATGTTTTTACTCGTTAATTCAAAATAGAGTTTTTGCACATAGCAGATTTTGGTTTGACAGCGACGATATAGTATATAGCTCATAGCACAACAATATTGCGCACCATACATTGTTATGGACACGTTTACACTGTACTGTACTATATTATACTGTACTGTACTATATTATACTGTACTATATTATACTGTACTGTACTGTACTATACTATACTATACTATACTATACTATACTATACTATACTATACTATACTATACTATACTATACTATACTATACTATACTATACTGTATTATTGGCTAAGTATACGCGGCTATGCTATATCGCACTATAGTATAGCGCAGTCTGAAAGCAGCCTAATAAATGTGATGTAACTGTGGAACTTAGCGTCGACGAGTTTTGGCGGAAAATTAAAAAAAATCACAACCTTTTCTACGTGATTTGGTGTCGACGTTATCGATTCTATCAATATAGTATTTTTGTAAAACTAAATTACAATTTTCATTTGATAAAAAATTATTTAAGCGGCTAGTTGTTTGTTTTACGTAATTTTGAAACTGTTATTCAAAATTATGAACTTATAAATACGTAACCCCGCTGTAGCCGTAGTCATCGTTTAAGTGAATGCAATATTCCAGTCGCGCTGTAAAATATAGTCTTACTGTGTTTACCATTGGAATTTAATATATTTAAGTACATCAATCTCGAGTATTCCGTAATGTGTCGGTTTTCATAAAATGTAATTAATATTTCATAAGTTATTGTACTAATGCATCAGTTGAAATCGCGTCACACAAAAGACATTCTTTAATTTTATTATTAATCTATGTAGTTGTAAGCTTGTAACACAAAGATAATCTCATTTTAATTAATATTCTGTAGTGAACTGTACAGGGTGTAGTTGGAATGTTCTCGAAAACGAATACGGGTGGTAATTTTAATAACTTATATAAAATACATTTCAGTTTTTTTCATATTACTATATCGTAATTTTGGGGTAAACAGCGACCTCTCTGTCTGTGGCACTGGTATTTCTTTTCATGTTGCGTATTTAACTTACCACAAATACTAGTATTTGCCGCGAAACAATCCTTTTACACCCTGTATTAAGAGTCATTGCTATTTTGAGTGTGGGAAAGGTAGGTAGCATGTTTGGTGGAAACTATAGATTCAGTGTTTCAAAACGTCCACTTGCACAAATATTTATGTTATGATACTCACTAAAAGTAGTAATGACAAAATAATTTAATAACATTCGAATACAGCTGTTATGTAATCTTGCCCAGGCTGTAGACGGCAGAATATGTATAGTAGGTACGTATTTAAAAACCTTTTATAGCGGCTCCCGATAATTATATAGTAGAATATATAAGAATGTATTGTCGTAATCAAGAGCAATGAAATTATATTTAGAAATAATAATTCGAAGTTTTATTTATTTAGGAGAAAACATTGATCATTTATTAAAAAGTGCGGCACGAAGCGGTGATGAAATGTTTTTTTTTATTGCTGAGCTGGGTGGACGAGCTCCCAGCCCACCTGGTGTTAAGTGGTAACTGGAGCCCATAGACATCTACAACGTAAATGCGCCACCCACATTGAGATATACGTTCAAAGGTCTCAAGTATAGTTACAACGGCTGCCCCACTCTTCAAACTGAAACGCATTACGGCTTCACGGCAGAAATAGGCGAGGTGGTGGTACCTACCCGCGCGGACTCACAAGTGGTCCTACCACCAATAAAATACAGACGGACCGTTGCTGTTCCTTTTAGTTTAGTTCTCTTCGGTGACGGGAGACTTGTTCCATGTCATTTCACAGTTCAGAAGCATGCGTGCTTAAGATTTTGAAATATTTCTAATTTGGACTCATCACTCCAGACTTATTGTTCTACATTAAAATCACATTAAAAATGTTAATTTTAATCTATATCACGTAAGATGGTAACATCGTTCCGGTTTGAGTATATTGGATTTTATCTAGAAATAGTCTTCAATGTCAATAGCAATAAATAAGATAGACTACCTATAAAATTTATTGGTGCCTACATGCCTATAGGTGCCAGATTTTAATGTGAATGTCATGGTACCAGTTTCTCTCTGTATGCTACATAATTATTTTATGATACAGAGCTCACGCCGCCTGGTCTCGTAGCTTCAAAGGTGACAGTGCCCTGGCGCTCCCTATGATAGACCCACTATTATAACTTATTCCTAACCGAAAACTTTAGTTAGTACTAGTGTACTCCTTGGAGACTCCATTAACATCAGGGGCGCTACACCTACGATGCTGAGGTTAGTAGCTTGTTGATGACGTGACCAAATTGTGTTGGACGGTCTAAGGCAATTCGGGTCCGATCACACAGACCGGCTCAGAGGTGAACCGATTTTTATTACGTTTGCAGTTTTGAGTAATTGTTAGTAAAGTTTATTTTTGCATGTGCACTTTTTTGTCATTAAGAATGCTTGAACGCGCTACGTTGGCGGTTCCACTCCAGCCAATTCCGAACGTATACGATCCGGTCAGTGTGAAAAGAGAAAAGCGGGCCGGTGCTCTCCGAACCGGTCTGTGAACGGACCCTTAATATAACCGTAGTTCTCTATAGGTTTATTCTAAATTTTCTATTTTTATATTACGATGATGGGAAACCAATTAGAAAAAAAAGAATGCTGTACACAATATTTATTATGTACTAGGATTTTACATTTTATGAACTTATAAACAACGCGCTTCCCGACAGCAGGTCACTGAAACAAATAAATATTGTTAATGTTTGCTCTTTTGAATTCAATTTATTTGATATGTTAGTCAAGAGCGTAGTTTGAAAGCATCAGTAATGTTTTGACGTCATGGCACTCAGTAGTAGCAAATATCAAAATGATAACATCATTTACTGCACAAATAGAGTCAAGGTTGAATACAGAAACAAGTACACAGTAGATAAAACTTTTAAATTAAATTTAACAAAAATAGAAGAAAAACAACGTTGAAAATCTCAGAATCAATACAATATTTACCTTATCACAATGTACACCTATGATCTTGGTCGCTCCTTTTTCTCTTTGTAGAGAGCGAGGAGAGACACGTTGGCTACTTTTACCACCTGTAGGAAAAGTCAAATAGGAAAACTTTGTTACTCAACATCACAAAACAGGAAAAGCGGCTAAGAGAAACCATCTATGTACTTCTTAAATCACTATTTTATATATATTTTTATTACTTAGGCGGGTGGACGAGCTCACAGCCTACCTGGTGTTAAGTGGTTACTGGAGCCTATAGACATCTACAACGTAGATGCCGCCACTCAGCTTGAGATATGAGTTCTAAGGTCTGAGTATAGTTACAACGGCTGCCCCACCTTTCAAACCGCATTACTGCTTCACGGCAGAAATAGGCGGGGCGGTGTTACGTACCCGTGCGGACTCATATGACGTTTTTTGAACAAGACGAATTTCCAATTTTTTATGGGTTTTTACCTTAAAACGAACTCCGGGAATGTCACCGACGGCGTGACCTTTACGACCGAATCCCGCCACTAGTACTTCGTCGTTTTCTTCGATGTGGTTTAGGCAACCGTCACGGGGGACGAATGCGGTCACTTTCTTTCCGTTCTTAATGAGCTGTACACGGACGCATTTGCGGATGGCAGAGTTGGGCTGCTTAGCTTCTACACCACTGTAAGTTTAAGATGATTAATTATTAATCATAGTAGAATGGACAAAGCTATGTTAAATGGGCAATTTAAAAAATTGAAAAGTTATACTGTTTCCTTGATTATTGTTCAAGTTAAGTTTCAGTAATTCAAGTTTCGATAACATAGTTAACAGGAGCCCCAAAGACACCTTCTGATATATAAGGCCATAAGTTCCCCATAATTGATAAACCTTAAACACATAGTGACAATACACACCCTCCTATCAGCAGTAATCACATCAATTATATAATATTTTTGCAGGTTTAACTTTTATTACAAGTTGTATCTTTATAGCGAAAGTCATTTGTAAATAATTAAAGGTGGATATCTTTCTTTAAAACTTTACAATATTTTATATAAAACCTCTGCAACATTACTAAATAATAATCATCCTAACATTAAATACTGTGTTTTGATATAGTAATTATATCTAATTGTTTATTTAAATCTACATATTATGTTTTATGGATTGACTAGAAACTAAAATCAAAATTTAACTTCATGTATTTTAAATAAATAACTAAACTAACAAACAACTAAACCAATATGCACTTTTTCAAAAACTCCGTAATTTGTTTAATCTATATTTAACTTGACAATGACAAAAATGTACCTGGCATTTAATAGTTTGCAAAGACACTGTAACATAAAATATACAATCTCCAATATTAGAAGTAACTTTTGCTGCACTTATGATTGAGTTACATACAAAAGAATATTATAAGGTACATAGGATTGGTAGATTGTTTTTCAAAAATACCATGTAGTACCTATTTCAATAAAAATTCAGACAAATATTCCAGTTATTTTAAGTATTCTTAGCTGGAATAGAGTCAATTAGTGATTATTCATCATATTGTTTATATCTAAAACAGTACTGATTGTTCTACTAGTCTCTCTGTAACTGCATTTGTTATCACTGAATGATTACATTTAAAAAAATCAAAATTTTACATGTTTCTTAAAGCTTTGTAAACTAGAACATGGACGGTGAATGTGTAACATAGTGAGCAAATATATGGTATGAAATGTTTTTGCATTAAATATCCCATAATCGCGATTTGTTAAGATAATGTGTAGTCTTTTTACAAATGCAACTTTTAGAATAAAATATATAGGTATTTAACTGTGACATTCCAAGTGATCTATATTCATAACCAAATCAATAATTGCAGTTATCTATGCAGCCATTCCAATTAACTTCATACTTGAATTACTAGAGACCTTTTGTATAAAATTATTTGACAATACATCAATTCAATTTCGTTATTGGCCACTGCTCAGTTATTATACATAAATTATTCATGACCAATCCCAATTAAAGTATGGTGACAAAACACTCATCCCTTATTCAAACTAAGTTTAGGGAACAATATTTAACATTTTAGGAACGAAAGTTTCATTAATAAGTATGCACGAATGCAAACAAATTTCAAAACTTGTCTTTCGGTCATTGACCCATGTGTTCTTAATGGGTATTTATTTGGCTTAAATATTTTAAGTTTCTGAAATAACGCCTTGCTTCGACGACTTCAAACGACGTAACGCGACACCGCCACTCGCAGTATTATCCTGTGATTGTAGCTAAAACACATTCACAAGAATAATACCACGCGTGGAAACGACGCATAAGTTTTCAGCTTCTCGTGTCAGTAATGCAATTTCTTGAACGAGCACTCGCTGATATTTGGCGGAAACTAACTGTAACTAAAGTGGACTAAATAAACAGTGTAACACTTACACTTTCTCGAGGACGATGCCCTTTGCGTGAGATGCACCACCGAAAGGGTTAGCCTTCCATTTCGTACCCATGTGGGCTTTCTTGAATTCTTTGTCCGCCCATCGCTGTTCACGACGGTGGTTCACGTGCTTACGCGCCGTTCGTATTCCTCGGGGTTTACCTGAAATTGCGATGTCGCCGGTTAAGTATCACTAATGTTTACAAAACACCAAAATAAAATTATCTTCGTTTTAAAGCCTTCATAACAACGGAGAAGCTTCTGGTGCACCTCATATATGACGCGGCCGTAATAGGATGGAAACAGATTCATTTTACACCACGAGATTATCATGTCTACGCCATGGCTGACTCTGGTATGCGTGCACAACATATTTGCGTTTTTACATACAAATTAATACATTTAAAGCACTTCATCACTTTGGATAAACTACACACTTCTTTATCACCGTAAATAAAATAAAATAAAAAAATTAAGCACCAGTTTAAAACACAAACTTCTCCTTACCCATTTGGATAGCACGACACCAATCGGCTACGGATGGGAAAAGAAATTAATAGGACTAGCGATTGGCCAACCTCTAGCGTCAAGGCGTCAAATCAAACGGTCAGTGCTACCAACAGTAACATAATAATTAAATGAAGTCTGACTCTGGACCAATGAAGTAGGAAACCTATGGAAATGAAACGTCAACCAAAATTTCGTGCCACTGTGACGTCATCTGGCCACAAAACATGGCGGCTTTAGTGCTGTACAAAAGATTTCAATGTTATCAGGTTTTATCGATAAACGTTCTTGGCTCATTTTATTTTAAATATTGTTGAGTATTATTTATTTGTAGAATTTATACTTTANTTGCCTTTCGAGTCACACTTGCTCCTTTTCCTATTGCAGTGTCTACAAATTCTGCGAGATGCACGTTTGCGATTTACAGATGTTTGATGTCCGGAGTAATCGGTATCTACAGTAGAATCGTCATGCTCGACAACAACATTATGCGCCACTGCGGGCACTGACGATAAGTCACATTCGTCATTTACTTGTAAAATATTAAAACTATTACAAGCAAGAGTCCCCCCGGGATCTCCCGGGGGGTCCATTTTACGAAACAAGGTCAAAAAGACTTACCCGACGACGAAATTAAATACACTAAATAAAGAAAAATTAAATATATAAAAAATATGTACAAACTTATCCTAATCCAACTATACGATAATTAAAAAATTTTTTAAATAAAAAACACGACCGCCAAATTTTATGCTTCCCGCGCTTTTTTTTTTCAAGGATTTCATTTTAATTATGCGATCACCGCATAACCCAAAACCGGAGCAAAGATGTCTAATCTATTACTTACAGTGCGTTTCCAAAGATTTTTGTCAAGTCTATTAAATATGTTTAATAGTAAATGGCGGTCAATTGATAGATAAATCAATAGAAGAGAGTATCTTCATGATAGTTCTCTAACAAACTAAAAATAAATATATATAAAAGGAAGCATCTACTTCTGAATGGTCAACTAATTTTTTTAATAATCTCATGAACTAGTAGTATTCAGGAATCTAATAGATTACCATTAAAGTCATTTGTGCTTTGAATAACTACAAAAGGTAGAGTAACCACAGGGCCATAGACTTTTTAAAAAACATAGGGCCACAGACTACAGACTGTTCAACAAAGATACTGCCATTTTTGTTTACTAAACTAAGCAAAAACACCAGTGTGAACATAATGATAGACGTAAAATTTAATTACTACACCTCTGTGTAGTCTTTCATGTCAAGTTTAGTGTTAAAAAACGATTCGAGGTGTTTCTATTATCTTTGAATAGGACATTTTAAAATTACCAGTAAGGAAATGAGTGCTATAAGCTTAAGTAGAAAAGACGGCGGTCCTGGTTATGTCGGCATACAATTTTGTCAAGAATGTAACAATATGCTTTACCCGCGCGAAGATAAAAATAACAAAGTTTTGCTGTACGCGTGCAGAAATTGTGATTATAAACAACTTGCGGATTCAAATTGCGTTTACGTCAACAAAATTATGCACGAGGTAGACGAATTGACGCATATAAACCCTGATGTAGTAAGCGACCCGACTTTACCTAGAACCAAGGATCACATGTGCCCAAAGTGTAACCACAGAGAAGCAGTATTCTTTCAAGGCCAGACGAGACGCGCCGAAGAAGAAATGAGATTGTATTACGTGTGCACAAGTTGTAAACATAGATGGACAGAGTAGACAGAGCTTTTGCATTGTAAGATTTATTTAAAAGATACCAATAAAGTTTATTTTCTACACATTTTCTTTGATTTGTTAAATGTATTAATATAAAACAATGTACTTAATGTCAGAGTTCTTAATTGCATGATATGTTAATAATTTTAGATCAAGTAAAAAAATCAAAACAGTCTTCCATTACATCTTAAATAGAAAAGTTATAAAACATGATAGTCATCAGTCTTATAGTTCTTAGTTATTTAATTTGGATGCTTTCAGAATAATCAACAACATAAATGAGCTTGAGTGAGAGTTGTAATACCTTGTTCCAATAATAGAGATAAGAGATTATTCTGTTAATATAGGGTCATATTTTGATTTTTAGTATTGTAAATATAATGAAACCAAGAATTCTTACAAATAACAACAATTACCCATTAATTAAGATTGAAGCGTCACACCTGAATTGGGAGATATTTAAAGAAAACTACTATAGACCAAATAAATGAAAGAATGCTTACATTTTCAATGTCGTTTATTTAACTAGTAAAAATATTGCCAAGCTGCCTCTCTGGTCTAACAAATAACATTTAACAAATCACAGCCAATTGATCAATCATCAACATATCAATATCAAACATTCCTGTGATCCTTATTAATAATCACAGAACACTTTTTAACATACTGTGCTATGTTGGTGGTTTGTACATTGTTGTTGGATTAAATTTTAAAACTACTCAACATAGTTCCTGAATTTTAATTAGGACCACAGTCACATTGTACACAACCTAATTTTCATCTACAACTACTAAAATATCTACAGTATTACAACAAATAACAACTTGCTTACAATTAACAAACTTAACAAGTGGTATAATATTATGGAAGAGGCCTTATAATGATATCATTATTCTACGAAGGGTTAAACACTACTATTTTCCCTGGCATTTGCAATTTTCAAAATCTAAATAATAAATAAATAAACAATTACGCTCAAAAAAAAGCTAGGTGTGTATTTAAATAATTTTAAATATTGCATTCATGTTTCACATAAAATGTGATATAGATATTTTTATTATGATATGATGGATTTTATATTAGATAATACTATTATTACATTTCTTACATAGTGATGATAAATTTACTTTTACGAGAAAAATACTATTCTAGTCGGAAACTTTTAGAACACAAAACGGAAATTAATTTGAGATCTCTCTCTCACTCTCTAATATGGCCTGATTTACGTAAAGAAAATAAATTACATTTTACATGGGGAAAATTTTCATCCTACATGGAAAACAGGAATTATAAAATTAATACAACAAAATTATATATGGCCATCAAAATATACAACCCACCGGAAGTGAGTAAAAGTTACCGCCACTCATAAACATCAGCAATGTCATCGACAAACCAATCCTCAGCGCAAAGCGTTTCTTACTATGCTGCTGAATAATAGGAATGAATAGATATGGAGGCACAAGCAATCACTAAAAACGCAGTCATTAAATCCGCTCTTATGGCGTGAGGTGCTTTAATAATAAATAAAAATAGGGTAGGTATCTTAAATTCCTCATAAAATACAGAATGAAGAAACTTCGTAGACGCTTCTTCCATTTGACTATAACTATAGACAGTCCGAATGACCCTTAAATTGAGTAAATAAACATAAAATTCCCCATTTGGGAGATACTTTGTAAAGCCGGCCGAGTAGTTACCGGTACTACAGGTGAAACGGAACGTCTGCTTTAAAAAATATTGTAGAGCGTAGTTGTTTTTTACTTGGCTTTGATTGGCTGTGCCCGTGGGATTGCTGACTCTGACATCCGTGACCCGACCATCATCATGAAACGGGTCGTATACTCGTCTGTCTACAATGGGAATTAAAAAAAACCCACCACCACCACAGTACTGTGCTTCTGTTGAGGGCTCCTTTGCATTATAGAAGCCAATTTGGTTTAATGGTTACTGCAAGCAGTACATATCGTCTCTAAGAATTTCAAAGGAATTGTTTATTTAGAGAACCAAGAGAAGTTTGTCGGGACAGGAAACATTTGTCAGGTTTTTTTTTTTCGATATCGTTCTTTACTCGGAAATTCGAAATCTTTGTAGGTTACGCTTGTTGATAAAATTATAGCAATAAATATTTTTTTATATTCTCGTCTCAACGATATTCGATGTTTAAAAATTGCCATAAGTAAATTCCGTACAGTACGTAATTCCGTACCGCCCACTACTTACTACTAATGAAGAAAGTATTATAAATACAATGAATTTTATGTCTTACATAGAAAAAGTGCTGTAAAAGCGAGTGCATCTAAACACTAAACTCGTAATCCAGACTAATGGTCAACAGTAAAATTCGTTGTTTTGATATTATGTTACATAAAGTAATTATTTAACGAAAAGAAATATGAAATGAAGTAAAATTTTAAATATAAAAATTAGAAGTAGGCCGAATCCTCTTGACGGGTATCATCATAAATGAAGTGAGTTCCACATTACCCCGCGAATCGCACGCTAGGCCATGAAAAACTATTGTAGGGCCGTTTTACGTATTTTTCGCGGTTATTTGTTCCGCGACAAATTTATTAATACATAATTTGTCAAGTAGCCCAACACGCAGAATAGCAACTTCGGTACGCATTTTTTTAGCCACGCGAACTATTATGTGAATCTGATGTGAACCTTAAGCGGAACCGAAAGAATTTGTCCTATCAATCAAATCGCGCTTCACAAGGGAATGTGGAGAAGCCTTTACAATTAACTTACACTTTAAACTTAGATTTTGTTTTTAATTAATATCCTTTATTTGTCAATGTAAATTTATATCGCATTGGCATTACTTAATTGACAAAGAATTCAGTACTGAAAGTACTGATATAACAGTAATTTGCGATCTAAATACCTACTGCAAGAGACACTACATTAAAATACATTAAATCGATTACAGGTATAGGTAACAAGTGTAGATACAATATTTTGTAAATACCAACCTCATAGGAAGACCAGTTAAAAGTATTAGTTTAAAACATTATTTTCGTGTTATTGGATTATTACAAATTTATATATATATTATATTAGAATGAAAATTGAAAGTAATTTAGATTTACTACATTTTTATCATATAAATAAATTGTGTTTTCTGTAAGATTATTCTTGTAATAGACTGCTAGTTTTAAAATAAGACATGCTAAGTGTGCACTAATTATGTTACTATGAACCATTAGCATTTTTTAAAACTGTATTTTCTAATACATTCCGCTATACACGATTGTTTCGATTAAACTTACGATACCTATAATATAATATAAAATTACAAGCTCTGCCAAAAACAACCATTATTTACTTGTCCTAAAACTACGCGAAGCCTAATTTTAAAGTAATAGTATACAACTTTTTTTTTTTAACGCAATGAAATTACGTAATGTTTTTATTGAAATGCACACATATCGATACATCACCTATTAATTCGTTGCTTTTAATGAAAACTAAGACATAAATTTAAAAAGTTTAAATTATTTTGGTGCGCGCTAGAGAGCGATATTATTGAGTTTAGATTCATACTAATTATTAGCGAGAAATATCCAGTTTTTATTTATTTATTGCTTAGATGGGTAGACGAGCTCACAGCCCACCTGTTGTTAAGTGGTTACTGGAGCCCATAGACATCTACAACGTAAATGCGCCACCCACCTTGAGATATAAGTTCTAAGGTCTCAGTATAGTTACAACGGCTGCCCCACCTTTCAAACCGAAACGCATTACTGCTTCACGGCAGAAATGGGAGGGGTGGTGGTACCTACCCGTGCGGACTCACAAGAGATCCTACCACCAGTTAATAAAGCTTGGATTAGTTAATCGCGACTTTAACATATTGATATTCTGTTTCTAAGAGTGAATTGATGATACGTAATAATAATATAAATAAATTAAATTAAATTAAATTAATATTAAAATTAAATATTATATATTAAATAACATATTAATATAAATATTAAATATTAAAATTAATATTAAATAAATTAAAATTAATATTAATATAAATTAAATTAAATTTGATTCCCGCAATTATGCCTTTACTGAAATATAATGTATGATAATAATATTCTTGTTTTCGTAGGTATTTCTATTTTAATGTATATTATAATAATATGTAAAAAAGGCATTTCTATTACTTTATAGTTTTGGTGGTAACGAACGACTGAATGATGAATGACATTAAAACACAGTCATGACCTATCCTCCACAGAAGCTGTTTTAAAATGGCTCGTGAAAACTAAAGAAAATACTAATTCATTTTAGTGTGTAACAAAAACACATTGCCGATTTTTTTTTAATGGGATTTTACACTATACCCTTTATCTTTGCATATGAGCCGTTACATGCGTTCAATACAAATAAGATATATTTTGAAGTGTCCGAAACTTAATATGTAGGTATACTGCAATATTATTTTTAAAAAAATACGGTGTCTGCAATGGGGACGTCTGCTTAATGGTATGAATCATATTAATGGTACCAATGAAATTAAAGATGACGTAGCCGCGTGTACTACTTTGCGATTTTCCGAGTCAGGCAAACAAATAGGCACAACATGGACACAGCATACACTATCACCAGCGTACCTAACACATTGAAATCAAGGGGAGCTATGCACTTGTACAAAGACGTCTCTAGCCTACGTAGCGTCCGTGTGCAATAATTACCCTAGCGCCCTCTAGTTGAGCTCGCGTTCAAAATGGAATAAGTACAAATGTAGCAGGTTCATTGAAAGTGTCAAAGTTGTCGCCCTCTGACACTTTTGCGCCCACACCCTGCCACATCGGTAAAGTCGTCTCTGTCTCTGTAAGGACACTAGTACTACGGACGGATGGTGGGAAAGATACATTGTAACACAACGAGGCCAGTCGACTTTTTTAATTACTTAGATGGGAGGACAACCTCATCCCACCTGGTGTTAAGCGGTTACTGGAGCCCGTAGACATCTACAACGTAAATGCCACCACCTACCTTGAGATATGAGTTCTAAGGTTTCGTTATAGTTACAACGGCTGCCCCACCCTTCAAACCGAAACGCGTTACTGCTTCAAGGCAGAAATAGGCAGGCTGGTGGTATCAGTAAAACACGAGTACCAGTATATCGGCATTAAAAACCGTTCAGAAAGAGACCATACGGATCCTCTGGTGTTCATACTACATCACATCCATTCGCTGTCCGTAAACCAAAAACTGACATATTAAAATTTTATTAGTAGCGTGGCACATTTTTTGTAATTAAAGCAATTAGTTGTACTGAGCTGGGCATCAAGCAATGCGCCTCCAGTTTTACTGTATATACGTGGCATCGATCTTCAATCTCCTACCACGTATAGAAAATCGTCGTCAGTGTTCCGGAAGCGGTGTCAGATCCGGGAAGCTATCCGGCAACGGCGGTAAGACGTTCGTCTCGAAACGACCGGATATGTTGCCGGGCGGAGAGTAATTTGCGACCACTATGACCTTGCCAGCGCGGGATCTGGCCTTACCCACGCCGAAATAACGAGTCGAAATCCATACCATTTGTGTGAAGTGACCTGTAAGCGAGTTAAATGATTTAATTATTCCAATATGGCGATTTGAAAATGACATCTGTCAGTTTGTAACAGTAAACAATGACGAAATTTCTTAATCGTTTTTTGATCAGCCTACTTTGAAAAACAATGTATTCGTTTTCATTGGATCTTTCATTTTCATAGATATCATAACATGAATGCCGTCAATTAACTTTGGATCGAGTCTCAAATTAATGGCTGCCGACCACCCTTCAAACTGTGGACTAATTACTTGAGTGCAAAAATAAGTAAGAAGTAGTAAATACCTATTCCTGCGAGTTATCTGAACTCCCACACGTAAAAACTATCACTATTATAATATTTAAAAAAAAATTAGGAAGGTAAAGGTATGCTGTAGATACTTACCAGCGTTAACGTTTGCATGAAGAACATCGGATTCCTTAAAGAAATTGTATTGCTTAACTGCCGCGTACCAGTACGACGAGACTTCTTGCCCTAGGCACGAGAAATAAGATTTGATAAATATATCTGTAGCTGTTCAATAAAATTACTAACAGGTGGTTTTTTCAAGAGTTTGCGTGAACGGTCCTTAGTGAACTTTATGTTTCAGGCTGAGCTCCGTCAGCTTGCCTATCAGTAAAGCCAGAATATCCTCCGAGGCTACTGGTAGGAATGTACGAATATAAAGTATTTACCTTACGTGTATAGTCCTCTAAGGACAAGAAAGTCTAAAAATACATTGTAAGAATAAATATAACACTTTTGTTTAATTATACTGGATATTTAGTTGAATTTGGGTTAGCAAGACCGGAAACATTTGTTTTTGATTTCAATACTTAGATTTTGCTTTTTACTTGTGACGAATAAATTACACTAATTATTTCCAGTCACACCCACATAAGATGTACTAATTATTATACTTTATGATTTTCTTGTAAGACATTAAAAAAAAATACCTGTAATCTCTGGTTGTAGAGCGCTAACAGGCCTTTGATAAAGATTCTGTCCTACGTCTCTGTCGTTCCTGTAGTGGAACTTGTTGGTGTGAGCGAGATGGTTGGCCCACGCTTGAGCGTAATCGCAGAGCTGAAAACAAAAAAATAATTTAATTATTCTTCTAATCCAGACTGATTTTATGAATGCGAAAGTAGATCTGTCTGTCTGTCGCGCTTTCACGCCCAAACTACTGAACCGATTTAAATGAAATTTGATACAAATATAGTCTAATGCCTGAGAAAGGACATACATAGGCGTTTTAATGTGAAAAACGGGTTGAAAGGGGGAAAGGAAAATTATATGGAAGTATCGTCATTTTTTTTAGGCTGTGGAATGTCACTAAGCGTACACATCAGAATAACAAATGGGCTATAATCTACAAAATATAGGGTGAACTACCATATAACGATAGTCGATAAGTTCAAGTAAGAAGGAAAAAAATCTGCCATCTGCGAGCTATTTTTGCGTGCGCCGCAAAAATCGTTGAACCGTTACACATATATACCTAATGTAAAATGGAAATGTTTATCTCAAATAGTTCTACAAAAAAGCCCGTGACAGCATATATGTTTTATGTATTTGTAAGCCTCTATCGCCAATATAGTGAAATATTAATTTATGAAGAGGTAAGATTAGATTTTCTGTTTGTTGCGTTCTTTTTTTATTGTTTGTTACTGTCAGACCCCATTTGTATAAAAGACTATTCAATAAGATCAATAATAAATTACAGTTCTCGAAGCGAAGCGTTATTACTCATGATTTTAAACTTTCTCTCTTCTTCAAGTCGTTATTACACTACAGAACTGGTTTTTACTGGTGGTAGGACCTCTTGTGAGTCCGCGCGGGTGGGTACCACCACCTTGCCTATTTCTGCCGTGAAGCAGTAATGCGTTTCGGTTTGAAGGGTGGGGCAGCCGTTGTAACTATACTTGAGACCTTAGAACTTATATCTCAAGATGGGTGGCGCATTTACGTTGTGGATGTCTATGGGCTCCAGTAACCACTTAACATCATGTGGGCTGTGAGCTCGTCCAACCATCTAAGCAATAAAAAAAAATTTAAAAAAATATGGCTTAGTAGTGATGTGCTTTATCTTCCCGTGATGTGCTTTATCTTCCCGACAATCATTCGTTCGTCATGATTTTTAGTATGGGTTAAATATATTTTTACTGCATAGACTGTTATACTAGCTCGCGAGCCACTTGGTGTTAAGGCGTTACCGGAAAATGACTGCCGTATGACTCGAGGTGAGTACCAAGTACCAAGGTCTCAATTGTATTCTATAACTGCCTCAAGCGTCAAACCGAAACGTAAAACTGCTTCGCGGCATAAATAGTTGATTTCAGATATTACAGCCATATTACATTCATTAAAAATAACATTTCACATAGATAAAAAAATAATAATAACAATAAATAAATAATTATGTACGCAAATTTATAATTTTGTGGGTTCGAGACGTTATTCCTTCATGTTGGCATTCGTTCGTCAAAAAATTACAGTAGCGTTTTTTCATAGATAATTTTACCCCACTGCGGAACTTGAAAATGGACATAGTCGCGACACTTGATATGAGTACATCGGGCGTCTTATCCTTTAGATCACGACGATGATAAAATATTACCCGTATTGAAATTTAAACCTCACAAATCTACTCGTATTTCGACTTGACGCAGAAGAAAGTAACAATTGAACGAAGAAGGGAAGATGACAATATTGTTATGATAATAACGTCATAACAGAAGACGTGTAATGATCGTTGAACGGCCATTATCTCTTAGCTAGGCCAATAAGCCCCCTATATTGGTACCACAAAACAAAATGATTCAAAAGTTTTTAATTTCTGATTCTGCTCACGATTTCAACGTCGGCCGTATCCAATATATTACTGACCCGTGTCAAAGATTAATTGGCGGGGTCGAAAACGTTCCGTGACCCGTCCCTTTCAAAATGACTGAACCCCGAAGCCTATCATCGTGTTATATAATTATATTGCATCATTGTAATACCTAGTCAGGTCATAAGTATTGTCACACAGTAAAAACTTTTCTTTTAGAATGCTGGCCACAAAAAAGTTTATTGAATTCGAATTTCGAATTGTTCATGAAAATAAAAATGTATACTTTTAGAATTTTACTCATTTTTAAATATGGAGTGGACGCTTAAAGAAGACCGTGCTGCAGTTATTGCGTTGCATCGTTGCGGTTACGCGCCAATTCAAATTTTTAACATACTGAAAAATTTGAATATAACCAAAAGATTCGTTTATCGTACCATCAAACGATACAATGAAGACTCTAGTGTAGATGACAGGTCAAGAAGTGGTCGCCCTCGGTCTGTTAGGACTCCAGCAGTGATAAAAGCTGTGAAGGCGCGAATTCAAAGAAATCCCAAACGTAAGCAGAAACTGTTGGCCCTTCAGATGGGGTTAAGCAGAACCACGGTGAAAAGGGTGTTAAATGAAGACTTAGGGCTTCGGGCATATCGAAGAAAAACAGGACATCGTTTGAATGCTCGTCTAATGGATCTGAGACTGAAGAGATGCCGCGCTTTGTTGAAGCGGTACGCGGGAAAAAATATCGGGAAATTCTTTTTTCGGATGAAAAATTTTTTACCGTAGAAGAGAGCTACAACAAACAAAATGCTAAGGTGTACGCACACAGTAGTGAAGAAGCGAGCAACCGTATTCCGCGTGTCTAACGAGGTCATTTCCCATCCTCGCTCATGGTATGGTTGGGAGTTTCTTATTGGGGCTTAACAGAAGTACATTTTTGTGAGAAAGGTGTAAAAACGAATGCAGTTGTGTATCAAAATACAGTCCTGACGAACCTTGTGGAACCTGTTTCTCATACCATGTTCAATAACAGGCACTGGGTATTCCAATAAGATTCGGCGCCAGCTCATAGAGCGAAGAGCACACCGCAATATGATAATTTGCATAATTATTATTACTGGTGGTAGGACGTCTTGTGAGTCCGCGCGGGTAGTTTCAGTAAAATGGCTTCAATTATACGCCCAACTATCACTATTAGGGTAGCTAATTTTTTTTATTTATTGCTTAGATGGGTGGACGAGCTCACAGCCCACCTGGTGTTAAGTGGTTACTGGAGCCCATAGACATCTATAACGTAAAAGCGCCACCCACCTTGAGATATAAGTTCTAAGGTCTCAAATATAGTTACAACGGCTGCCCCATCCTTCAAACCGAAACGCATTACCGCTTCACGGCAGAAATAGGCAGGGTGGTTTTGCATTGCTGAAGTCCATAGGCGACCGTAACCACTCACCATGAGGTGGGGCGTATGGTCGTCTGCCTGCAATGGCAATAAAAAAAAGATCTTTATTTGGATTATCCTACCTCTGGGGCCATATAAAGCTGCGGTGCGCCGTGTCTCTGTCGGTAGACGTTATGCCAACACAAGCACTCGGTGATGAAGTCGCTGTCCTGCCACGCGGTACGCACCTCGCTCCACTGCACCACCATGCTCACCGGCCTGTTCTGCAGAACCTAGAAGAAACTATTGTTGTAGATCAACTGATGCTATAGCTATAGCTATCAATGCTACTTCCGTATCAACCGTCCGCTCTGGTGGTACCAATTTTGCCTACCTGACTCCCTAATCCTTAGTAGGTAGGTAGTAGGACCTCATGTGAGTCCGCGCGGGCAGCTACCACCACCCTGCCTGTTCCTGCCGTGAAGCAATGATGCGTTTCGGTTTGAGGAGTGGGGCAGCCGTTGTAACTTTATTTGAGATCTTAGAACTTATATCTCGAGGTGGGTGGCGGCGCATTTACGTTGTAGGTGTCTATGGGCTCTAGTAACCACTTAGCACCAGATGGGCTGTGAGCTCGTCCACCTATCTAAGCAATAAAACAAAAAAAAGGTAATAAAATAGTGTATTAAAAACAAAACGGCAATTTTTTTGTGTGTAACTACAACCGGCGTATTAGTCTCCAAGCAGTAATCCACATCAGATTGAAGAGTTTGTATAGCCTTTATTAGGTATCCTGTACAATTTCTATGCAGACGCGTGTCTTAAGGACTTAAATTCACTGGCATTCACGTTGTGATTCCTACAGGTTCTGGTAACAATATAACATCAGGATTGTCATGAATTCGTTCGGCACTTAAAACAAATTGAAATATACACGCGAGCAAAAGTTTGGAATCACTTACTTGAAATTGGTTCCGCGCGATCTTGCTTCCTAAATAAATTTTTAATTTTTATAAAAATGACATCATTTTAAAGGTTCAATTGTCAACTTTAAATTGATACCAAATTTATCGAGTCAGTAGTTAAGGAGCTATCTCGGATTAAGCGAAGGAGGTAGGAAAACAAGGAAATATGAAAAAATAATGAATGAGTAAAACAACAAAAATTAATAAATAAAATTTTTATTTAGCCTTAAAATTAAGTGTCAGTACTTTGTGTTCCCTCCCCTCGCCCTAATAACCTCTTGAAGACGATTCTTCATAGACCTGGTCAGCTTTTGAATTGATTCTTGTGGAATACCTTCCCACTCCGCAATCAACGCCGATTTCAGCTCATTCAGACATGAAGGAGCAGGAGTTCTGGAACGAACTTTTCTCTTCAGTTCATCCCACGCGTGCTCAATAGGGTTGAAGTCAGGACTGAGCGCAGGCCAGTCCAATGTGGCGATACCGACTTCTTCGAGGTATTTAGTTGTTACACGGGCAGTGTAACAACGAGCGTTATCGTCCATAAGGAGGAAGTCATCACCGGTATATCCCGCATAGGGAACGACAAGTTCGAGCAGAATATAGGAAATGTATCGGTCCGAAGTTAGACCGCCTCCTCGTCCCCCGCCAGGCACGAAAACAAGCTCGGTTTTACCGTCGAAGGAAATGCCGGCCCACATCATACAAGAGCCGCCCCCATAAGCCACTGTTTCAGTGAAACAGCACTGCGCAAATCGCTCCCCAGGCTGCCTGTGGACCCAACCTCTTCGGTCGCTACTGTGCAAACACATCCTGCTCTCGTCGGAGAACAGGACTTGCCTCCATTGCTCAACTTCTCAATTAAGATGGGTGCGAGGAAATTGAAGGCGTGCTTGTCGGTGAGCTGCCGTGAGTTTCGGGCCTGTGACAGGCCTTTTTGGAGTCAGATTCGCTTGCTTTAGTCGTCGACAAACTGTCCACTTGCTGGCTGCTACCCCACGAATATCTCGGAGCTCCTATTGGACGTCAACACCAGGTAAATGCCGATTTCGGAGAGAGGTCGACAAGATAAAACAGTCATCCCTCTCCGATGTGCACCGGCGCCGTCCAGATCTTGGTCTCGGGATAAAGCTACCAGTCTTCCGAAAGCGCTTGCAAACTTTTGAAATACAGGACTGGCTTATGTGGAGCCGACGAGCGACAACTCGCTGGCTGAGCCCTTCTTGCAATAGGGCTACGATTTGTGCTGCTTCTGTAGGTGTTGTCTCCATTGTCGTACAAGGTAAAGGGTCAAAAGTAGCGGAGATGTGTACCAGTCAACGTGTGAAAGTCGACTGATAAAGAGAATCCGATAACAAGTGCTTTTATAGGGGTCAATAGGTCGCAACTCGTGACGTATCAAACAATTGAAACACCTCTTTTTCGTGATTCCTTCACTTAATCCGGGATAGCTTCATAAATACTGGCTTGATTTTAATGAATTTGTTATAAGTTTAAAGTTAAGAGTTGAACCTTTAAAATGATCTCATTTTTATGATTATCAAAAAAATATTCAGTACACAAGATCGCGCGGAACCAATTTCAAATAAGTGATTCCAAACTTTTGCTCGCGAGTGTAGTTTTTTTTTCAATGTGAAAATGAAAGGGGCCTTCACGAAATGCGCCGCCAGGTATTGGTTGAATTAGGTAATACGTGAAATGTAACGACCGAGACGTGGCTCCGTTCCAGCGACGCAGTCTACCCGAACGGCTCGTAAATTTTTTGCTTATTCAATATACAAATTATGTTTTTTATCGTGGATATTTGCCAATTTACTTTCTTTTGATACGCGTTAGTGTGAGGTCTGTGGTGAGGCTGTTTATGGTTGGTATGTATTGTCCTCCGAAATCTTTATCGGAGCGGTCAATAAAACACTAAGTATCTTTATAATATGTTTATCCGCGTCAGCGACAGCGGCGGAAAAACAAAACATTTTTAGTTTTACTGAAATCTTACACTACGAATGCAATCTATTAAAACAGATAGATTCTCATAAATAAATACATTTTCGAAAAGGTTTTTAGAACTCGCATTTTACTTTCTTCCAAATAAAAGATAGGTATCGAGCCTGATTCATAATTCAAATTGAATTTCAAATGTTGCCAACTTTTACTTCGTTAAACTAAAAAAAACAGTGGATTTAAATAATATCTGACTACAACCTCTCTGTTATGATCTCTTGAATTACAAACTAAGCGATCCGTTGAAATTCCATCTATATTCAGATATTCGAAATGAAAATCACAAAACATTGCAAAGCTCCAATGATAAATGACCCGATAACCTTTCAGCATTATTCGTATCGATGGGTGTGTTTCGTAAACTCGGAGAATTTAGAAGAAAAATCATCTTTGGAATATCTTAGCTTTTTTTTAATTTGCGTAATTGAATTTTTTTTAATATAAGTATTTCTAATGATTTCAAAACGCTTTTACCGTTTCATTTGTCTAATTCGATTCACATTAGATGATTCGTGATCACAAAAACTGATAATTATTATTTGAAGATGTGAAAAAATCAACGCGAATTTAAGTTGTGTTTTAATAAATTTAAAACTGTTTATATAATTCGTTTATATAATAAACTGTTATTGTAATTAAACTGTAATTAGTTTAATAAAAAATCTGTTTATATAATAAATAAAAAAATAATTCTGAATGACGAGTATTTTTGATGATCACTTTTGAATCGCGATCGAATCTTTATGTATACTACAAAAAACCGAACTTCGATTTAAATAAACCAATCATATTACAGCACTTTATCTACTTACTATGATTTGATCAAGTGATAAGTGCCGTGATTTGCTGAAGGGGAATGAACGATTTATCAAACCATATTGACCTCCGCAACTAATTTCTTTTCGTAGCCTTTCGCAGTAGTCGCGTAGGCAGCGTAGACAAGGCAGAGAAGAAATGCAAACGTATTTGTTGTATTTTACTTGAGATCGACTTGGACACGAACTTTGCAAGTAAATCTATTCGTCACACGAATGTTCGCCTTTTTTTTTCTATCTATGCTTGAGAGGCTATGGCTATAGGAAGAGCAGTGCTTCGCAGAATCTACTACCGGATTGCAAACGCGATCCACTGAGAAGATCCGGCGAGAAACTCAGCGGGCTGTGTCTGTGGGTAAATTTACTCGTCGAGCCCTTCAACGCAAGCGACGGGTTCGGCGAGGACGGTGACCGGGTTTCGCTCTATGTGGGAATCGAACACACGACCCTTGTACCAGCAATCAGGGTTGCTGATTACTGCACCACCAAGTCAGTTTCAATTAAGTAGACGACTAACGAAAACCGACAAAATGAAAATATTAAAAATGACTAATTTATTTTGTTTCAATCGTTACAATTTCCTTTTTAACAAAAACATAAAAAAAATACTAATTTAGGTATGCGTTAGTGCGCACGTAAATGTGAAAATCGAAATTTATGTCTTATTTCATTTTTTCGCAAAGCTCTTTACAGGCGAAGTGCTTCTAAACTTTAAATTAGTGCAGTACCCTCTCAACCATTTCAAGGAACGTGTTAAAGTTCGAAGTCACCGCATTCTACGCTGCGCGGTAATTGGAAAACTTCACACATAAAGTCAAACAAGGAGATATATTTAAGAACTACGTAGAGTGGTTTAGTACTTTCATTCGTTTGTGATAAAGACTTCACGGTCTGTCGACGAGAATCAGCGATTTTTTACTCTCTCTCTCATTGATTTTAAGTCGTTATTACAATGTAACTGAATCTTTGACTTTGCTTCTCGAGATTGATCGCCGCATTATTTTTACGGCTATGTTGGTAGGGCGTAATGTCGGACAATTTTTCTGACAAAATACGTACATTAAAGGAATTACATCGTTAACTATCGTTTGTAAGTTTGTAATTGAAGTGACACTTATCCTGTAGCCTCTTGTCAATTCTTAAATGTTTTGTGTTATCTATGGTAATTCCGCGGATGTTCTAGGTCATTCACTTTATTAGTAGTTACAATAAATCTATCTATATATATATATATATAAATGAATTGCTATTCGTTAGTCTCGCTAAAACTCGAGAACGGCTGGACCGATTTGGCTAATTTTGGTCTTGAATTATTTGTGGAAGTCCAGAGAAGGTTTAAAAGGTAGATAAATTTGAAAATGCTCGGAATTAAATAAAAATAACAATTTTGTTTTCCCTTTGATTTGTCCCCCGTCGGATGGATTCCTTTTGTTTGTTTTAAGTTTATTTTATACAAAAGTTTAGGTCTTTTATTTATCGATTGAGGCACTACGAAGTCTGCCGGGTCAGCTA